CTGGTGTGGGATGTTGGTATATAGGCTGGTAACGTCCATGGTGGCTAGGAGTGTGTTGCTGGGAAGGTGGTCTATGTTTTTAAGTTTCCGTAGGAAGTCTGTAGTGTCTTGTACAAAACTTGCTCTCTGGGTGACAAGCGGTTTTAGGATTGATTCAACGAAACTTGATATTTCCTCAATTAGGGTCCCATGGTTGGATATGATGGGTCTGCCAGGTTTCCCTTGTTTGTGGATTTTAGGAAGCATGTAAAAAGTCCCTGGGTTAGGTAGTGTGGGGATCAAGGTCTGTAGTTTTTCTTGTAGTCTTGATGGAAATGATTTGATGGTATTGTTGAGTTTTAATTCAGGGCTTAATACAGCAATCACAGCCCTCCCACCCCTAGCCTTGGCCCCATACTCTGGATTTTGGTGTTGGGCCCTGACTGCATCCCTTGGATGCCTGGCACCCCTTGAATGCCTGGCCCCACTGGGAATGCTGCAGGCTGAAAGAAACACCTATTTTAAACCTTTCCAAGCTGACAGATCCCCATATTTCCTTAGAACAAAACTCAAACTCTGAGCTGCCATTCAGCCACTACTCAAATCCTTGGGTCGGCATGCTGATGCCCGCTATCCAGATCTGCTTTAAAAAACGGGCAGGAGATTTTGCAAACAGATTCAACATTTGAAGTAGTTTTATCCCACAGATTTCAACACAGAATCTTTCTGGTTTGGAGATTTCGGTACTCAAGCTGTGAGGTCTGAGGGAAGGTTATTATTATATGAATCTTTTAGTGCTCTACTGTCATGTTCCCCGTACTTTTTTTTCGTTTCCCTGGCTTCCCTTCCCTCATATTTTCCCATGGAAAACAGGGAAGAAATTGGGGGCTGGGGGGGAGGAGAGAGAAGGATGAGGTCAGGAAAAAGAAGTCTGTTGGGAGAAAGAATATAGATTTGGGGTTTCATTAAAAGAAATAACCTCAGAAGTCAAACTGGTTTATTGATTCTGTGGTTCCCTCCCCGAAGGTCAAGCCTGGACACACCAGACTGGGAGGCTCCACATCTTCCCTTCCTCCTGCTGCACCTGGAGGGCTCCTGTCCTGTGGCCCTTTGCTGGCTGCCTTGTCCTGTCCACCCTGTGCTTCCTGTCCTGTCACCCAACTGCCCAACTCAGGAGCCTTCTGCTCAGGAAAGCTGAGGCCTCTTTGAATTAGTTATCCTAGACGGGGCAAAAGTTATAGCTGTGTTGGTCTAAAAGTACAAGCAGTCAGTGTGCTGGAGGTGAGATCTTTTATTAGACCAACTAGACATTTGAAAAAAATATTTTATTTGCAAGCTTCCAGGCACACACGCCCTTCCTCAGACATTGGAGAAATTGTAAAAACTGTAAATTGTAAAATTTCTCCCAGATAGAAGTAAAAATGCGTATTGCACATGAGTGCTGGAGGGCAGTATAACTTCTCCTGGCTGGAAAAGTCCTTTGCCCTCTCCTATGCCCCAGGAAGGCCACGCGTACCCGAAACCTTGCAAATCAAGATTTTTTTTTTCAGCTGTCTAGTTTGTCTAATAATATAGACAATATATATTATAGTCAATATATAATATACTATTATATATAATATAATAATATATTATATATTATACAATATATAATATAGTCTTTTAATAGTGGGCTCAAGGGGGTATCTTTTAACAGAATTCAAATCATGATACTGAGTTAGAAGTATCCATTTAAGACAAGGTCTTATTATAGTTGAGTCCAGGACCATTTTCTAGTTCATAGCCAGACTAGCAATGTAAAAGCGTAGACAGCTGAACCAAAAATTATTCTAATCTTATCACTAGAACCTTATGGAATACAAGACAGTGCCTCCAGCCCCCTGACTACTTGGTCTACAAAGTGGATCTACCCTGCCTGGTTTCAGCCCCAGAGAGATGCCTACCCATCAGCCAGCCCCACCCCCTGCACCCAGCACAGCCCCAGGGGGAGCAGAACCCCCCGCCCCCAACACCCAGACTCATCAGGCCCCGCCCCCAACACTGAGGGCAAAGCGGGCTGGCGGCAGCGCCATGCTCTACTTAGCATGCCCGTCGGGTGGCGCATGCGCGCCGTAAGCCCTCCAGCATGGGCGTGGGCGGGGCAGTGGACTGAGGCCGGGCGCGGGGGTCCACGCTGCCGCCGCCGCTATGGGCTGAGGGGCCGCGGCGCGGGGGCGAGCGCCCCGAGGATGGAGAGAGCCATGGAGCAGCTGAATCGGCTCACCAGGTCCCTGCGCCGCGCCCGCACCGTGGAGCTGCCCGACGGTAGGAGCCGCTGGCGCCGGGAGGGGGTCTCCGCGTCGGGTCAGCCCGGCGGGTGGCACCTGCACGTGTGCGGGGGTGAAATAATGCAGGGTAATAATCACAGTAATACAAAACGCTTACATCATACAGGGAAGTCACAGTGCCAGTGGCGAGTTCAGCCCAGGACCCATTTGTATGTCTGTCTTCCAGCCGCCTGGCAGGACTCGGTCGCTAAGGACTGTATGTTTGTGCCTTCCTACCCTTTCCCACCCCCCACTTTTTTTTTTTTTTTTTAAAGAGAGGTTGGTAGGCGTGTTAGGGAAGAAGGCAGAATAAAGAGGCAGCTTTGTGGGGTAACTCAATGAGACCGAGGCCATAGTGAGCTAACCTCACACATGGGAGAGAGGGAAGCACGTGCAGAGTTGCTGTCCGGGTAGGGAAATGTACCCAGAGCCGCTGTGCAGGCATGCCGGTGGCAAGGAGTGGGGAGCTGACTGCGCAGCTGGTGTGCACCTCTTGGGGGTGCTCTGCAGGCTCCATTAGTCTTGCTGGTGACAGATGGTGGTGGTGCATAGGGCAGCCCTGATTGGCTGACCCTGACTGCCTGAAGTCAGCATGGGTTTCCCTGCAGTGCAGTGAGGGGTTGGTGAAGGGGAGTGCTCTGGAGCAGCAGAGTCCAGCAAGTGACACTCTCCTGGGGGCAGGGAGAAGGGGAAAGGCTGGGGGACTGTTCTCCTCTGACCGAAGTCACAGCATGGACAGGTGTTTGCTGTCCCAGGAGCAGCTCCCCCGGGAGTGATTTAACTCTGGTTGTGCCCAGGTTATTTTTCTTCCTTTTTGACCCTGGGAGAAAAAGCCTGAACATCTGTACACTTATGGTTTCTCCTGAGAGAGCAGTTACTCTCCCAGGAGAAAATGAATGTCTGTACAAGGCCAGAGAGAGAGAGTATAGGCTTTGGTGAGGTTGAAATTCACTTCATCGGGTGCATCCCCCAAACTCGCTTCTCCACTGGAGTTCATTTGATGAGATGCGTCTGATGCAGTGAACTCGAGTTCACAAAAGCTTGTGTGTGTGCTCTCACACACTTTTATATGGATATGTGTATATGAGTCATATCATCTACCAGATGCCATGTCTCCACGCTAACCAACTCATGAAGTGGCTCTGCTATTCATTTTGCTCTGCATGGGTCAGGTGAGTTTGGCACCCCATAGATTGAAGCTGCTGGTGAGGAAGAGGAGCCATCCATCATGATGCTTTGCAATCGAGGGATATGCCTGAATGGTTTCATGTTCTTTCCTGTCCCTGTCAAGTTCTTCAGGCAAATATATCTGTGTAGAGATACCTATATAGAGATACATGCACACAAATTAATAGATATAGGTATAAAGATAGATACAATGTGTGTATGTATGTAACTGTAGCTGCATGTGTATTACGGGGCAGTGTGCATGTCCGCCTATATTGGGAATCTGGATTAAGAACTGTGGGTATAGGTAAGTGTTAACTGTTGAGCTAAATTTAAATGCTTGCCGAAAAGCACTGGTACTGGTCCATTTCATGCTTTTTCCTCACTCCTTTTTTTTCTGCTTGTTACTCCTGGGTTCTTTTATAGGGAGCTGTTGTGAAGATGCTTAAAATTTGTCTTGGAGACTTAATTTATACTCCAGTTTTTTTCTTCTCTGCTTACGAGGAGGGAAGAGCAAGAAACAGAATCTTTTTTTCAGGTCTTTACACTCTTATTTTGCTAGTCTGGCTTTAAATTAGAAAATGGTCCTAGACTCATTTTTTTTCAAAAATATGATAGGAACTTGTCTTGAATTGATACTTCTAGTTTAGTATCATGATTTTGAATTCTGTTTTCAACCTTTCTATTCCATCTTCAAGGTATGCAAGAAGTTAGAAATCAGTCAGTGCATTCTGAGCTTTGCTGTAAAGAAGAAACAGTAGAAAACCAGCAAGCTTTGATTTTGTTTTGAATGTGCTGGTGGCTAAAGATTCACTGTAGTTTTGAATTGAGCGAAGTCATTCTTCACTGCTCTCTATGAGATGCTTCTAATTCCCCCGCCCCTCCACATACTAGTGTTGTAAGCAACCACTTTGAGTCATCTACTTTATAAAGTTCTAAAAGTGATGTTTATTTATGGCTTTAATTAATTGTTCATATTTGCAAGATATTGCGTTACAGAATTCTGGTGCACGTAGAAGCAGAAAATGGATTATGAAACTATGTAAAAAGCACGATTGATGAGCAGCATGGTTGTAATGCAATTTAGATTTATATTTTTTCTTTTCCATTCATAACTTTTATGTAATTGCTTGCCCAAGAGTGTAGTGCATCTGTTTTATGCTTTAGTTGAAGTGCCAGTGCACTTGCACAAGAATATTCAGAATAAGAAACATTAGCATCTACTTGTTCTGAAGGTGTTAATTCTGATTACTTCATATCTTGTAGTAACCAAATTAAATTGATGGATTAAAAAAAAAAAAAAGAAGAGCAGCCACTTCTGCTCTTTCCTCTCCCCCTCCCCTCTGTGTTTCTCCACGTCTAGATTTATGGTCTCCTCTGTCTTACATGATAAGTATATATTGCCGCTGTCTGTATGATATTCCTCCCTTATGTAAAATCTGGCAGTTGGTTAGACTCTGAGCATATAAGGAAGATCTGCAGTCAGGCACCTGAGAGATCTCTCGATATTCTTAGGAATATCAGTGCAACCAAATACTTTAGAGAGGTGAAAAACAACCCCCCAAAGGCAAATACTATCCTTGGGGAGGGGAAAGAATTATTTGGGCCCCTAACAGGCTACTAGCAGATGCTCTGGAGCCTGAGATTATTCAATTTTAAGGGCATCAGACATCTGCCCCCCCCTCCCCCGGCCCTATGCCCAGTCTGGCCCAGGAGGAGCTCCATGGCCCAGGTGCGTTTGATGCTTCGTACCTAACACATCCCATATCGTTGGCATGCAGTGGCAGTCCCTCAATACAAGGATAATAGTACATGTCCCATATGTGGAAACATGAAACACTTGAAGCCATATATCACATTGATTACTATCCTGATGATACCCTATCATACTATCCCTTCCAAAACTCCTCAGGATCCATCCTGAGGCAACTCAGATTCTTCTCCCTGACTATGTTTGGAAGATCATTCCCCAGCCTCACTCCTCTAATGGGTAGAAACTTTCTACCTTGACACCTTTTCTTTGTTAACAAACAAGCTAAGCACTTTTAATGTTCTCACATAAGATTGCTTCTCTATTCTCTATTGGATGCTTATCTTGCTGGGATCCTATGACCCCAGCTGACTTCCTGCCCTTTGGGCAGGGGGCTGGACTCGATGATCTTCCAAGGTCCCTTCCAGCCCTGATGTCTATGAAATCTATGAAATTCCACTGATTTTAAGCGGCTCTCCTTTGCACCATTCTAGTTTAAATTCATTATTTCTATTAGCCCCCAATTGCTAGACTGTATCCCTTTAAACATATCTTCCACATTAACAGTAGTAACTTTCCCCCTTGAATTTAATTTAAACTCTTAGATAAGAGCAGAAGTATCAAGTATGCAGGCCATATCCAGGCTGGGGAGTCACTATATTTGGCCTGCCAGACTACTGGGACACCAGAAATTGGGGGTGTGGCCTGGTATAGAATCTGGGATACTTGGACTCCCAGGTACATGGTGATTGGCAGGAGGAGGGCAAGGAAGGGCTGTTACAGCCCTGGTCACCCTCTAACTGCTTCACTCTTTGCCAGTGCTGCAGTCCCATGTCTTTGGTTGCTGGTCTGTTGCCACCCTGTGCTGGAGCCACTGCTGCTGTTGCTGTGTGTCGTGTGTCCTGTGCTGGAGCTAGAGGTGCCATGGCACAATGATGCATGCGGCAGCCACAGCAGCTTTAGCTCCAGTTCTGGGTATGTGGAGCCAGAGCTGCTCCTGATGCGTGCCCTGGCCTAAATCTGTCCCAAAAGGACCTCTGTGGCTCAGATCCAGCCTGGGGTACAAAGTGTTTGACATCCCTGAATTAGATAATTTGCGTGGTTTTTTTCTATCGTAGAAACTTTAAAAATCGGGTACTTACTGATGGATAAACTTAATGCATGAAGAAGCTTTTATAGTGACTAGCTCATTTTAATTTCTACACAGATAACGAAACTGCTGTCTACACCTTAATGCCAATGGTTATGGCTGACCAGCACAGGTGAGCCTTCTGCAAGTCTGTGTAAGGTACAGTGGTGTACTGATGGAGGGGAGGGGGCCATGGCCCCTAGGCGCCAGCCTAGGTGGGGGGGGTGCCAGCCAGAGAGGTCACGACGCTTCCTGCATTTGATGTATGCTCCACCCACCTGCCCGGCGGGCTCTACATTTTTGACCTGTTCTGGCCGTAATTCTGGCCACCACCCCTCCCCTGGTGTCTGGTGTGCCGTGATCTTAATTGCCCCGTGGAAGTGGGGTGGGGTGGGAGAGGGGGCACTGCACTGTGCTCGGCTCATTCCCAGGGGCACAAATTTAGGCATGGGCCTCTGGGCACTGGAGACCCACGGTATGCCACTGAGAAGGTACTTCTTAAATTTCCTTACATGTAAGGTTGCAATCACTAATATGTTGTATAAACATTAAAGTGTTAAATTAGTACTGCAAACACTCCACGTAGCACATTCTATAACTTTCTGTGTTTAAGGATATAGGCAGCAGTGTGTCTTGTAGGGTGTAGTTATCTGTCAGAGGTTCTGTTGCTACCATGCAGGGTCACAGAGTCTGTTTTAGGATGGCACTGTTTCCGTGGGCTGGCCCGTCTTAGTATATCCAAGTAGCCTTATAGAATTCAGGCTTATGTGTGGTCTATGTACATACATAAGACCAGAATCTGCTGAGGGAAAGGGGGCTAGTATGCCATTTGTGCTTGGCAGAGTAATGGCATGGCATTCTGCCTCTGTTGAGAGAGAGACAATGCTATGTATAGATAGATATATATGAGAGAGAGAGAAACCATGCCATTTATTCTGCCCAGCACAAATGACAATACTATATATAAATATATATGTATAAATAAATATGAGAGATGGAATAGGTCAGGGGTGGGCAATTAGTTTGGGCGGAGGATCGCTTACTGAGTTTTGGCAAGCCATTGAGTGCCTCATGACAAGCAACCAGGGGCAGATTAATATTAATTTTCTAAATTTTTAGGGGCCCCGTGGGCCAGATGGTCCTGGCGGGCCATGTTTTTCCTACCCCTGAAATAGGTGCTTGAACAGTCTCCCCTAGTGCATGTAGGCTAAGAGTTGGGCAACAAGATTGATGCTTTAGGATTCTGTAGATCAGGAGTGTTAATAATGTGGCCTGCAGGCCATATTTGGACCGTGGAACCATGTCATCTGGCCCATAGGGCTGAGAATTTGGTGGCAGGATGAACAGTGGCCCACACCAATTACTACTACTGCCACTTGCCTTATTACCAAATTTCCAGCCCCACAGGCTGGATGACATGACTCCACACTCTTGTGTCCAGGCTGGAAAGTGACTCTGCTATTCATCCAGCCCCCAGCGAGTCCTTCATAGGTTAGATGAGTTTGACACCCCTGCTGTATATGACGGCTGTTGGTGAGAAAGCAGAGCTGTTCATTATGATGCTTTGGGATTGATATGACGGATACACATGACCAGTTTCATGCCTCTCCTCCGTCCCTGTTGAGTTTTGAAGGCAACTAAGAAGCATCTTCTTACCGTGTTCAAATTTTTCGATTTGTTACTTGAATAGATGTGCATCCTTCTGTACAATATCTTTTTTTTTTTTTTGTCTGATATTATATATGAAACTCAGTTTGAACAGTTGTATCTCAATTAATTCCATGATCTGTCAAGGACTGTAGGATCCTAGTAAAGTTTCACATATTATTCATGCTTCAGATGTCTTGCATTAAAATTGCAATTCAGAATAATATTCCTTCCTAATTTTGTTACATTAGTGCTCTGTTACCTAAATTTGGCATATGTTTAAGAAATTTGCCAGATATATGAATAGAAGTGTGAGAAAAGGAGGAATTGGTTTAGATGAAACTTGCAGTTGTCTAAAGAAAGCCATTATAATGGTGGCCTTAGTCTGCAGTAAGGACAAGATATCCAAAGCATTTCCTCATTCTCCTCAGTTACATATGTACAAAACAACCACACAGTATGGTATACTTGTCCATGCCGTATTGAACTCAGAAGTGGAAGAGCAAGGCAGGCATCCTAGGAGCTGTGGAATCCTGCCTCTTATAACCAGTAAGGGAAAAAGAGTGGTCTTTTTGATGATGATAAAATAGATATATACCTGATCACAAAATAGCCTGTATTGTAATGTGTGTGAAAGTTGACAACCTTCTTTTTTGACTTTCTTTCCTCATTTCTGTTTAAGGTCTGTTTCAGAGCTACTGTCAAATTCAAAATTTGATGTTAATTATGCTTTTGGAAGGGTGAAGAGGAGCTTGCTTCATATTGCAGCAAAGTAAGATTTAATGTGGTGTTTGTGTCTAAGAGATGACATTGGAAAAAAAATACACCTGTTTTCTAGACTTATCTTTCCTTAGTTTCAATGTATTTTACTATTATGTGTTTCTTCTAAAGTTTTCTTAAATAGTTTACTGGTATAATTAAAGTTGATTGTAACATAGAACTGGCCAGACTAAATGCACAATTTTAGTGTAGTGTCTGTCTTCCATATCTTAATGAAAGAAAATGTTGGCTGCTGTTTATTGCTTTGTACTTTCTCAGAAATGGGAATGTTGGGTATGCAGTTAGCTGCCTAGACAGACATTATCTTAATCACTACTAGCTGTCAAAGTTTGTTCCAAAGTATTTGAAGCTCTGCTTATTTTGGTAGTTCTCACAGCCATTTTGTCTAATTGTCATAATATAAAGTGTGTGGGAAACATTCAAATATTTGTTTTTTGTCATGGTAGGGAGAGGTGCTCCCCTTGTCAGCTCTTAATTGGGCAGGGAAAACATTGAGGTTGGGTACTGATTATTTTTAATAATCTGAACTTTTTATATCCAGGCTGAAGTGCCTGCCTGTATATACTAAATGAATCATTTGACATGTTTTTCTAATAGTCAATCTAAGAAATATGTTAATAGATGCATATTTCTGTTTATTTCTCCTCAGGTAAATCTCCATTTTGAGAAACAAGCTTACTAACATATTTAGTAGGAGAGAAAGTTGTTGGAATTGCCTTACAGAAAATTAAACCTTAAATGGATAAACATTCTTTTTAATTTGCTTTATGAATAATTCCAAGATAGTGACTACTTTTAGACTCTCAAAAAAAGCCTAAATCTAGAGCTTGGAGGAGACTTATACTTGGCTAACTTCTGTAACAGGAGCCATTTGAGCACTATGAAAATAGAATATTCAGAAGCAAATCTTTTCAGTAAAATTGTATTTAATCATTGAAAATTGAATTTTTCAGAATATGTTGTTTTTTTTATAAAGCTTGTCTTGTAAGAGAAAGTATAAATAGCTTTCAGAAGCTGTGTTGACACATTTCTCAGAATCTTGTATAACTTATTGATGAAAGTAAATAATTTAGTTTAATTGTGTAAAATAGAATTTGTTTTTTAATGTATTTTGTATTCCGTACCTGGAAAAGTGATTTTCCTTGCCTTACCTGGGATAGATCTCTAATATTTTTTTTCCTCCTAACTACCTTAACTGTTGTCAACAAATAATCAGACAAACCCATTACTAAAGTATTAAACGGTAACTGAATGTTACTGAATTCAGGAATATATTTAGTGTTGTGGATAAATGGACTATTCCTTTAATAATATTAGATGAGAGAGAGAAAATGGAAACCAGAAACTTATTCAGTGTTTACTCCTTCCTGTTCTGTTTAGAATTTTCTTGATGGCAGTTACAATTCCGGAGAGCTTTCAGATAGCACTGGCTAATTTGAGGACTGTGTGTTATATGCTAACAAAACTAGTAGTAAAGTCAAGTATTTGGATGAGTCGTGTAACTGTTCCTCTTTTTGGCCTTGCTTAATTTCATGTGCTTACCCTTCTTGGGAAAACGAAACCTCTTAAACTTTTTATAAAAATAATATTATAATAAAAATTTTTTAGATGTCTGCTGCCTAGTCTGGTGCTGTGAAAGGGCAAGTTGGATGGGGGAAAAATAAGCATAATGTCAAGGAAGAGCAAATTAAGCAGTTTGATACTTCTCTGTACTTATCTAAAACTATTGTATTTACTTAAGTAGAAGATGACTTTGATTATGAGATGACCTCCCCATAATGAGAGTCTATATATGAAAATTTATACATTTGTTATAACTTTCCAGGTATTAAATCTAATTACTGGAGGTATTGAATTTGTCCCCCTTCACTGCTATAGCAGAGAAAATAAATCTGCAGGGGTCAGATAGCCCCTTGCTCTCTGTTTACCCCCAGCTTTTTCCCTTGACAGCCCCTTCCCCCTCTCCTTACTGTCAGACCCTGCTGCCCCTGAGCACAGAAATGAGGCGCACATTTGTAAACAATAACCTTGAAATTAAACACGGCTGTAGCAATTTGATGCACATAGTATCCCTGCACTTATTTTATCCATAACTGATATTACCTTAAAAAACCCAAAAACTGATGCACGTTCTATCACCTAAACATACTTCTGATTTACTTATATGTAGCATAAACGCCAAACAATATTAATCCAAAGCCAAAGACTCGTGATTTATTGCATAGTGTATTGGGCTGGGCCCCAGCAGAGTCGACAGCATTTCAAGCCATGGTGACCCCATGGGTCAGCACTGCTTGGTACGTGCATGAACTCCAGATTACACCCCCACCCCAAAGAATCCCTGTGTTAATTAGCCCCCGCTCATGACTGGAACTGGGTGTTCTTGTCACAAGTCCTGGCATTGTCCAAAATATATATGCAGATAAAGCTCAGGGCATCCTGGTTCAGCTTTACCTCATGGAGGGTGGGGCCACAACTAATCATGTGTGTTTGGTTGAGAGGAGGGGCAACAGAGGGATTCAGGGTGAACTGTTTGGGGCCCTGTTAGCATTTAAGACTGGTGAAAAAACAGGAATCATTGGAAAAGTGAAAGAAAGGTACAGCCCAGCTGTGGAAACAAAGAGGAAGTAAAAATATATGCAGTGTTGTGGCTCACCAGGATTTGAAAATGAGTTGGCACTGAGGGCAGCTGTGCTTAGAGGGCAGTATCATATGTCTTATTCAGATGGGCTATGCTAGTCTATTCTTGTGGTAGGTTCAGTTCTTCCCTAGCTTGTTTTTGTGGCCATATGGCTGAGGGCAAGTGAAACTTGGGGGCAGCCGAACCCCAAGTCTCCAGGCTTGGGCCTGCACGTAGGATGCCTGCCAAAGGATTTGGAAGTATCTGAAGCCCCAGGCTGGGGTGGAAGATACTTGCTGGTAGCAGGGCTAGATATGGTTCTTGGATGATTCAAATGGATTTAGATCTGATCTGGTTAATTTGACATGGGACAAGAAACATTTTCTTTTAAAATAAAAAAAAAAAAAAGAAAGTTTCAATTAAGAACCAATGTGGGCCAAGTGTTTTACAGTCATGCTCTGTGTTGGCTGCATTTCATCAACTTCATAGTTGGTTTCTATTGCTGAGCACATACTGCTTTTGACAGCAGTGTAATCATAGACAGTGTATTTAGCAGAATTTCCTTGTATGCAGTTACAAGATGAGGGGCTTTCCCCCCCACCCATGACAATGGGGGGGGGGGGGGGAACCTAATCTTGTAGCTGAGTAAATATGGTACTTGCATTTGAAAGGCCCCAACAGTTACATTAAGCTTAGTAAGTTTTCTTCTGTAAATTTAATCAAAACACTTCAGTGCAGTGTCTTTTTCTTTCTTTGTTTTAAATCAAGGGGAAAAAAAGATATACAGTCTGCATTTTGTGCTGGCTTTAATTTATGGAAATGAGTGAAGTTGGATGCAAATGTGTATTAGGGCTAGTTTGGCTTTTAAGCCTCTTGTCCGCTTGCTATGACTCGCTGTAAATTCATTTGATTGAGATTTTTGTGCGTGTATTGTATGTATATGTATATAACTTTTTTTTCTTTCTGTCTTTCTTTTCTCTATCTCTTATCAGCTGTGGGTCAGTTGAATGTCTAGTTCTGTTGTTAAAGAAAGGGGCAAATCCCAACTATCAAGATATCTCTGGATGCACACCACTTCATTTAGCTGCAAGAAATGGGTAAGGAAAATAATTACCTTCTGAAAGGCATCACAGACCTAGTTAATACTATTCTTTTTTCATGCAAGTTAAATTGTTTTTTTTGCTTTTCAATTTTGAAAGCAAAACCATAGAAAGTGTATTTACCTTGAGCTTGTGTGTGTAAATTTGTATTTGAAAGAAGATAACATTAAATATTAATTGATATGTAAATATAAGTAATATGTGTGAATTGCTATAACCATTTAAGCACTTTTTTCTAATTACCAGTTTAACAGTTGAAGAAATTGTTAACAGGTCTTGCAAAGAATCACAGGTGTTCACTACTGTAATAGTTTGTGATGCTCTTAATAAACCAGGTTAATGAACTGAAGGAGTAAAGTGTGAATTGGCTTATTCAGGATCTGGAAAAGGAAGTTGAAGTGGTTTCACATTTGAGATTGCTACTAAGTTAACTGTGTTCTCCATAGGAATTGTCTTCAGGGCAAGAAAGACTAATATTACACGTGTGTGTGTGTGCGCGCATGTGAGTGTGCATTAACAGTATAAAACAAGGCTTAGGCTTGCTGCTGCTCTTAATATCTGGTATTGGACTTCTCTGGTAATTCTGTTAATGGCTGAACGTGTATATTTGGCCTGCTTGGGAGCAGTAGAGCTCTAGAATGTTGACTTATACCTTTCCACTTGATCTGTTTGCCCTCTCTATACATGCTGCCTTGGTGCCTCTTCTATGTCACCTTTTTATGGCTCTCGTGACTGATAGATTTCTTCTATAATTGCAAAAGGAAAAATATGCATGAAGTCTCTCGGTTGTTCTCAACCTTTTTGGATTCAGGGCATCCCTTGGAACATGCCAGCTCTTAGCTTTCACTCATATTTTTTTTTTTTTTTTTTACCCTGGTGAAATAATAGAGTAATTTTTCTGTTGAACAGAACTCAGACTACCACAGGTCAGAATGTTTTTGATACCAGGGATTCCTCTTTGACAGCTTTCAGTATTTTGTGAATCATATAGGTGTTTGCTCATCCAAGAGTGGTAATATTGCGCAGCACCCCTTTGCATCCATAAAAGGATATCATAGGACCCCATGGTACTGTGTCCTGATTTGAGCATAATTGCCCTAAAACGGTGGCTGTTAGTAATATGCAAGTGCATATTACAGTTGATCAGCAGAGAAGTGAGACTAAATATACATAACATGAACAGAAAGAAATCTGGAGGGGTCTGTTGTAATAACTGTATTATTTTCATAATGGAATGTGACTTTTCAGGTTGTCTTTAAACATAGCTGTAATATTAGCAGCAATCCTAGAGTTGGGTTCTATTTTAAAATGTGTTATGGTTGTTAATAATGACACTATTACTAAAATTCCCGTGAAATTATCTGATGTGCCTGACTTCTCTTCTGTCATCAGTCCTGTCCCCATCCCTCTTTTGTTTTTGTATGCTGTAAGTTGTTCAGGAAGTGGATTGTCCATGTCCCTATCAGGGTGGATTTGATTTAAATCAAATCGATTAAATCATGGTTTAAATAACATTTTAACTCGCTGGTCAGGAAGCTTTGATTTAATCATTGTTTTCTACAAAAAGTGCATTCTTGTTGTTTGGTATCTTTTATTCATTCAACTTCTTGAAACTTTGCACCTTTACAGACAGGTAGAGGCTTGACTGTGTGTACACAAACTTGCAGAGAGACAATAGGGCTGATGGGTGGGTAATCCGGTCTATTATCTCTCATCTCCTTATACTGCTGTTAACAAGGATGTTATCTCTGGAGACAACAGACTCTCCCTATGCCTGAAGAAGGGTGTTTGTGCCCAAAAGCTTGCAAAGAACACATTTTCAAACTATTTAGTTGGTCTAATAAAAGATATCACAGTTACGCCAAAGAACTTTATCTGCCTATGATATCTCTGGAGATGCTTCCTTTCAGTTCTCAAACCGTGGATTTGCATCACAGAGATGCTTAATGGGATCTTCTAAACTGAGCACTGAGTCCCATTGGGTAGAGTGGTTTTCTTTAATCTTTACTAATCTATAGAGGAGCCTCTAGGAACCCCAGCAATTTGGGCCCCTAATATATTCCATGGCCTGTTGTGACCTATTTATAAAACTTTTAAAAAGCTTACATGAATATAGTGTCTCAAATAGTATATAACTAGAAGTTATAATCTCTGTTCCTTGATATCTTTGAGCTTTAGTGTATTTTAAATTAAAACCATCTATATATAAAGTTTATTTTTTTTTAAGCATCTTAAAGACTAAAAAATATTTTTATCGTATTTTTTATGTAATTACAAAAAAATCCATTTTTATATATTTTTAAAAATAATTGGTTTTTATCCACCCACCCTGGTGTCTATTCTGTGTATTACATCTTGGATGCTACTCCTTATATAAATCATAGCAGTGAGTACATTACCAAAAAGCTTTCAAGTGCTGGGGGTCTTGAAAGGTGTCAATCTCTAGTTCCAGTTAACACTGATGAAATTCTTTACTGGAAAAGGAGAAAAAAGGAGGTCCTAAATTTTTATTACCCCTAGGTTTTCCTAGTTAAAAATACAGTGGCATTGTCACTTGAGGGACCATAAGTATTGTCAAATGGAAATTTAAATGTCCAGTTAGCAGTATGTTTAAATTGGCAGTTTAGCTTCCCCAGGTGAGTTGACATTAAATTAAACACATGAATTAACCTATCAAATGTGCAGAGCCATGCTGCAGTCACCTGCTTGCATTGCATGTCTCTGGGGAAATATACAAGGGGTCTTATGCAGCAGCAAATTGAGCTATTCTCATCCTTTCCCAGTGACTTGTGAGGGAACATGTCTGCACTTCTGTGTGTGCTGGAGGAATTGAAGGAAGGCACAAGAAAACTCTTGAATTTCAGGTGGTTTGGCTTGTTTCAGTTTCTGATGAAAGAGGAAGTAGCTTAAATCTCCCTTAACACCCCAGGGTGTTGAGGGAATTGGCAGGGGTTATCATGGGGCCCTGGCACGGCTTTACGAGCACTTGTGGTGCTCTGGCCAGGTGCCGGAGAACTGGAAGAGGGCCAATGTGGTCCCCCATCTTTAAAAAAAGGGAAGAGGGAGGACCCGGGCAACTATAGTCCCGTTAGTCTTACTTCAATCCTGGGGAGGCTCTTTGAGAAGATTATCAAGGACCATATCTGCGATGGGCCAGCTGCAGGGGTGATGCTCAAGGACAACCAGCATGGTTTCATTAGGGGCAGGTCCTGTCAGACCAAACTGATTGCCTTCTATGATCAGGTCACAAAATCACTGGACGCAGATGTTGCGGTGCATGTAGTCTTTCTGGACTTCAGGAAGCCTTTGACACTGTCTCCCACCCCATTCTCATTAAAAAGCTAGGTGACTGTGGCATTGATGCCTACACAATCGGATGGATTGCAAATTGGCTGAGGGGTCATACTCAGAGGGTGGTGGTGGACGGGTCATTTTTGACCTGGAGGGAAGTGGGCAGTGGGGTCCCCCAGGGCTTGGTCCTTGAGCCTGCACTGTTCAATTTCTTTATTAGCGACTTGGATGATAGGGTGAAGAGCAGCCTGTTTAAATTCGCAGACGACACCAAGATTTGGGGTGAGGTGGGCACGCTAGAAGGGAAGGACAGATTATAGCAGAACCTGGACAGGTTACAGGGGTGGACAAATGAAAATAGGATGGGATTCAATACTGACAAGTGCAGGGTGCTGTACTTGGGCAGTAGGAACCAGCAGCATACCTATAGGCTAGGGAACTCCCTTCTCAAGAGCATGGTGGCAGAAGGAGATTTTGGAGTCATTATTGACTCCAAGATGAACATGGGTGGACAATGCGAGAACACGGTCAGTAGGGCTAACCGTACCTTGTCCTGCATCCACAGATGCATCACGAGCAGGGCCAAGGAGGTGATCCTCCCTCTCTATGCGACACTGGTCAGGCCGCAGCTGGAGTACTGCATCTAGGTCTGGGTGCTGCTCTTCAGGAGGGATGTGGACAGCATTGAGAGGGTCTAAAGGAGGGCCACTCGTGTGATCCGGGGACAGTAGGGCAGACCCTACAAGGAGAGGCCTCGTAGGGTCTGCCCTGCGAGGCCTCTCCACTTACTAGGCGGGGACCATCAGGGTTTGGGAGAGACCTTGTTCCCCCGAGTGCCTCCTGGAGTAACAAGGAATAACACCCATAAGTTGCTAGAGAATAGGTTTAGACTAGACATCAGGAGGCACTACTACGGGCGGCTAGGATCTGGAACCAACTTCCAAGGGAAGTGGTCATGGCTCCTACCCTGGGGGTCTTTAAGAGGCGGCTTGACATTTACCTGGCTGGGGTCATTTGAGCCCAGTTTTCTCTCCTGCCCAGGGGAGGGGGTCGGACTAGAAGGTCTACTTAGGTCCCTTCCGACCCTAAATCTATGAAATCTGAGTAAACTCAAACTCCCGGTTTGGTCATTTTAACTACATCAATAAAAAGTGTCCATTTTAGTTTTACCAAGTTGCTACATTTAAAAACATTGGTGTCTCCCCACTCCCGCCTTGTGTGAACTTCAGCAAAGCTGTTCTTTGGTAAGCTGTGTTCCTTTTTTGGCAAGGTTTGGCAGCATTGTATGCAAGGAAAGAGAACTGGTCATAACGCTGGCTTTTCTTGGTTTTTGTGGTGTTATCAAGGATAGAAGTCTGTGAAAAGTACTGGGGAAGAGGTAAAGGTTACTTAATTGCCTCTAGGATTGTTTGCTGTTTCACATGACAGGAAACAGGAGACACTGGACAAACAAGCTAAATGGAAAAGAAGTGTGATTTATCCTTTTTTATGAACAGGAAAATCCTTACAGTATTAAAAATTACTTAAAGAGTCTTTAAAAACTTTTTCTAGTACTTTTCTATTAAAGTAATTGCTTTGTTTGCCATATAGTTATGTGATTGCGAAAGTAAGTGGTATTTTAAACAACGGGTCAGTGGTGTAAGCTGATATACATCTATTGAAACCAATGGAGCTTTATCAGTTTACATCAACTGAAGGGCTGGCCAGTTCTCTTAGATATAGTTAACATGACAGCATGGACTATATATAAGACTAAGACACTTAAGTACTGTGATACCTGTAACACAGAAACCTGTCTGTACAACCCATCATTTTCCCTCTCTGTGCCCTAAGATAAACCTCTAAGCTGTATAAGTTTTCTATGCTGTTGGTTACCATTTGCTTTTTAAAAAATATATCAGGGTTACTTTGAAATGAATCAAGTTTACTTGCTGTAGTTTATGCATGTTATTAAATACCCTGTACAAGTGGCTAGAGCAAGCTATTTGCAGGTCCTTTCTCATTTTGCATGGCTGGAATTTAATATGTTCTTCCCTTTACAGTCAGAAGAAATGTATGAGCAAGCTGTTAGAATACAGTGCAGATGTCAACATTTGTAATAATGAAGGTCTGACTGCAGTAAGTGCTATAAATTTCAGTGCTGCTCTTGAAATGAATAATTTAATGATATGCTGAATTTAGTAGAAGTGACAGTCAGTTTTGCCTACAGAGTACTTGGCCAGCCTGCCATTGGCAAAACTATCGTAGTTTGAAGTTTATTTAAAAAAAAAAAAAGAAAAAAAAAAAAAAGAAAAATTTCATTTCAGTGACAAAACCAATTTCTATTTTTTTAAAGCAGTAAAATCTGTAATTCAAATAACACATTGTTTCAAAAACTCAGCTTTCCATTCTCAAAGTGACTTCTTTGATTTGCTAGGACAGTCTGACAGATTTTCATGTTTTGAAGTAGGATTTTGATTTACCTCCCTATTGCTTTACTTCCCTATGGTCTGCATAGTTCTATCAAACTGCATTGACCTCAAATCAGTGAGGGTACATTTGTGGTATTAAATGATAGTATATTTGTGACTAATATCTATATTGGCCAGAGCTGAGCGAGATAGGGTTCTTCCTATAATAATCCCATTCTTCTTGTACATTTGTTGGAGCACCAAATCCTTTTTTACTTGTCTGTCCCCTGGTTGCTGTTCCTATCACTAAGGTATTCAGGCAATCTACTTATTGTGTTTTTTGGCAGATACAAAGAGGTGGAGGGTGTTTTTCTTAACCCATCTACCAGAGATCAGAGGGAGTTGTTCTGCACCCAGTGTCTTTGAATATCAGGCCATGTTATCTAGTTGTCTAAATGTGCACTTAAAAGTCCAGTTTTGTGCTTCTGCTCATAAAAATGTTGTTAGTAGAGCATCAGGCTTTTATATTTGTTTATGAAATACTAATATTTTTCATAGTCATTGTGATGGTATATGTAATTGTATGTCTTTTATTTAGATTCACTGGCTTGCTGTCAATGGGAGAACAGAATTGCTTCATGATCTTGTACAACATGTCAGTAACGTAGATGTTGAAGATGCCATGGGACAGACAGCACTTCACGTGGCATGCCAAAATGGCCACAAGACTGTAAGTTCTTAAAAATAATTTGAATTTATTGTAATTAAAAAGTTGGCAAAACTCTTTAGTGTTTCAGAAAACTTACCCTTCCAAAAAACAGTTCAGGCTAGTCATGCACTTTTACAAAGGTTAGGAATGCTAAGAATCTATCATTTATCTTAGTAAATGATCTCAACTGGATATACTTGTATGGGAATAAGTGGTTTATTCCTGTGGGGATGATTGATCTTGCAGTTTTCTGGAGGGGTTTAAATGATTTAATATATGCCCTGCAGCTGTTTCTGTAGTTGATTAATGTGTATTGTTATTACATAGTTGATTGCAGGTTTTGATGTCATGTTTAATGTTTTTTCATCCATTACTCGTTATAATGTGTTTGGATTCACATTTATAACTTTTACATTATTTTCTTATTAGGATGTGTTTGAAATAAAATCTAAATTGATAAATTCTTAATAATTCAAAAAATCAAATGAAGCTGTGGACTGTGCCAGTGCACAACATAGTTACTTAAATTAGGAAGCCTAGAAGCATGATTGCTTCTTATCAGATATTCGTGTGTGTGTACAGTCTTTGAAACTGATCTTGCATAAGGACTAAGCATGCTGCTTTGGAATAAATATGAACAATTATAGATTATTTGTTTGAATTGTATTCGGATAGATTTATGAGATTCATTTAGAGTTTTATAGTGACCACTTTGAATATGAAATGGTATCTCATGTACAGTCTGCTTGTACAAGTCCATTCTACTGGTGGTAAAGAATGAACCATCAAGAAGGATTCTGAAGATGCAAGAAACAGGTTTCAAGATAGCAACAAGCCCTGTGACTGATTATTATAGTCCCAGCAACCTCAGATGAATGGGATAAAGTAGTGTGGGATGCTAGTTCTCTTTTTTTTTAATGTTAAATATTCAGAGAGGTTGTTAGCTATGTTAGTTTGAATTTGGCAGAAGGTAAGGCAGGGTGGCACATTAGAGACTAGCTGATTCAGAGAAGCATGAGCTTTCCTAGGCAACAACCAACTTCATCTGATGCTAAGGCCCGACAAAATAGATTGTCTGACAACATAGATTGTTGCCTTTGAAAGCTCATGTCCCTTGAAACCAGTAGCTTTTCACTTTACGTATACACAAAAGAACACATTAAGAATGAAAATGTAATTAAAACTTCAGAATGTGTTAACCTCAAGTTACTGACAAATATGTACAGCTTTAACTTTGGTATAAGCTTATCTAGGATCTGATTTCAGGGGTCTTACCAAATGACTAATGTCCTATAAAAGGCCTTTGTATTAAAACACTAACTCTTGAGAAATTGAGCATGTGAAAGCTTTATGAGGTATAACAATTACAGTCATTTTCCAAGTACTTAGGAATTTTGTTTTTGAGATTCACTACTGGAAATGAAATCCTTTTGCATGACTAAACAGATGGATAAACTAAACAGTTTCAAGCTTAGTGACATTTTGACTTCTTTCATATTTGACTTTTTTTTTCTCTCTTCCCAAAAGACGGTACAATGTTTGCTAGACAGTGGTGCAGATATTAACAGACCCAATGTGTCGGGAGCAACTCCACTCTATTTTGCTTGCAGGTATGGCATATTTGACTTCCAAACGCTAAACAAAAAATAATTTATAAGCATACAAAACTACAAGAATCCAGTGCATAGCAAAGTACTTACGTTGGGAAGTATGAAACCTTACTTTGCATTTAATCTTTCTCTTGAATGTGATATTATCGGTGTGTGCATGTGGTTTTTCCCCGTCTGAGTAATGCATACTATATACAAGTCTGATACTGCAAACTAATATGTACCTGTGCTTCTATTAATATGCGAGTCATAACTTGAAAACTGTTGAATTGAAAACTAATTAAATGTCTTAAATTATGGCTTTTTTTTTGTCAAAGCAAGAACTATGAAACTGGCCCAGATTTGACTAAATTAATCTTTTGTTCTATGAATGTTTTAAACTGGATTATTAAAGTAATCATATAACCAGCTGTTTGTGAGCTCAGTTTTCTTCGTATACGGCTCTCCATAACCAATATTAAGGACAAAGAAATGTTCAAACCATCTGAAGGTAATAGTTTGCCAGGAATATAGGCAGGTTATATTCTTTCCAAGTTTTGATATCACTAATTTTGTTCTACTTTTTTAAAAAAATCTTTTAATTTTTCTTGCAAAAAGGTTAAATGGAAATGTTTTGTGAACCATAACTATGAGGGGTGCTAGCATATAATGTGGTCAAACATGATTTTGCACTAAATCATGCACTTCTGTAGCTGGCAAATGTAATGTAGATTGGCTTTAAGTAATCTATCATGTAAGATGTGCATGAAGGACCTAAAGACCTATTGGAATGAAATGATGTTGTTGTTTAGTCAATTCTGTTTTCTTTATTGTTTACTTTTATTTCTAAATTAATCACATATGATGAATAACTTTGTTTTTAATTAGAGCATTTCAGCTATTTGTTAGAACATTTACAATAGTATAATGCCAGTGTTTTGGTTACAGGTTAAACAGTTCATCTGTGATTAAAATGTTAATGTAAACAAAGAGAGAATGGGTTTACCTGGTGGCCTGACAAGGCTGTGTTGTAGGAGACCAAGTCTGTTTGAGCTTACATACTCTGACTCAACAGTTGAGGAGAGAAGAAGGAGAGAACAATAGATAACTACTAGTTAATTGAACATCTCTTGACACTTAGTTTAGGCACTGGTATTGGGACTTCCTTTAGAAGAAGTGGCTTGCTCCAGACTGGAGGCAGGTTTTTAGAAAAGAAAATAATGCACAGGGGGCAGAATGGTAATTTCTTGAAATGAATAGTTCTTGTTTGGGACTCAGAAAGGCAAGGAGAGAACCCCAGGTGTTAATTCTAGAAACTAGTTCTATATTAATGTTCATCTTCCCAAGATAGCCATGAAATAAATCTATAAACAATGAAAATCTTATAGGGCTTAAGAAAAATATATTATTTCAATGAAATTCATATAATGTACATAAATCAGATTACCTGGGGTTTTGTGTGGGATCAGAGCATGGTAATGCAGCATATGTTTTGTATTGCTGGAGTCGTAGCAGCAGCCCTAGTGTCATGGGGATTGGATCTGGGTAGTGGGCTGTCCAGTAACTCCTGCCCTGTGTGACTGCTCCATTTACAGAGGGGAAAATAAAATTGCTGTTTAAGTGGTGCAGAAACCTTTGTGTCAGTCCTTCAAGAGCTAAATTTCATCTCTTCTGTCTTGCAAGTTATGGTATGTGCAGATAAGCAATATTTGTAAAATACTAGAGTATATATGTGTACATACACCCCACAGCAGTATATGTATTCTAGTGACTATAGGCCTCAAACTGTATGTTTCATAGAAGCATGCCTGTCTATTTTTTGCCTTTTTTATTTTTAAAAATTTAGTTTTCTTAAGTGGTTATTGGGATTTGTGGCATATTATTGGAATTTCACTTTTTGGTTTCATTTTGTTTCAGCTAGCGTTGACCCATTAAAATAGCTAACTGTACATTGCATGAAGCAATTATATTTGACAATTAGATTGGGGGAGAGCTTGACTGCTGCCCTAGGGACCCTAAGATTTCCACTTTGCACATTTAAATCCTAGATTAGACAAAACAGAAAAACTTACTGTACAAAAAAAATATTGCCAGAGTAATATGCTGAATGACAGAATTCTTTTTTATCTTCACAACCTCAGTAATACAGAAATAATGTGTATGACATGCATTTATTAATGACCATTTCTATTTCCTTATCCTTTTAAATCTATTGTAAACCCATCCACATGAGTTATGGATAGCTAGAACATTAAGTAAGAATGCATGATAACAGGTAATTGGGGTAGCTCCTAGGCACTGAAAGCAACCATAATATCTCATTCAACAAGTATAATCTTTGTCCTGTGAAAGTTACTGTGGAGTAATCCATGGTGTGAATTTATAATGCACTAATCACTCTGCACTAATTCCTTGCAGTAAGTGCAAAGTATGTTACTCTGCTTCCAGTTTCATAGCATACCCTCCTTTGCTGGGTAGACAGACTCAAAATTACATGGAAGAATGTCTGTAGTCTGTTAAAGAAGTACTATGAAGATCCTATTTATACTTCCAAGCTCAGTATTTCTTGGAAACTATTTTACACGGCCAGCCATATGGCGTTTTGGGCTGGAGGCACACCCCCTGCCTGGCTGGAGCAATGCTCCCTGTCTCTCTGTCTGTGTGCGCCCAGAGCAGCAGCAGGCAGGGGCTTGGCTCCAGCCAGGCAGGGGGCGTGGCTTCAGCCCAAAATGCTGTGGCACACCTGGATGTGCCTGACAGCACACTGGTTGGGAAACACTGCTCTAGGCCTGTCATTTTAGTTCACCTCTTGTTATTTCAAGCTTATTCCAATAGGCTCGGAATGCAGATTCTTAGTAGTGTCAAAAGAACAAGAAATGGAGCTCTCTTCTAGCCTTTCTTCCTCTTTAAAGATTTTTATGGGATCTTGCTGTTGGAATCAGTTTGGGAAGAATACCTACCGTTCTGCTGATTAGCTGTTTCATCTAAACTGTTGTAACTCTCATGAACTAAATGTTTGTAAAGTTTTTTTTTTTTTTTCCCCCCTCTATGCTCTGTACAGCCATGGTCAGAGAGACACAGCACAAATCCTTTTGATGAGAGGAGCCAAATATTTACCAGACAAAAATGGAGTTACCCCACTGGATCTCTGTGTCCAGGTATACATTTTATTTATGTTAAATTAAAATAGCCTACAATGATTTGAAATGAATTGTATTGTCTTTGATTGCTTTTACTATTTGAAAACTATGACCTTATTTCTAAGAGTGAGAGAACTGTGAACTACTTTTATAGGGCGTTCAAGGAAACCGTTTTTTTTTTTTTTTTTATTCCTCTAGTTTCCTGTCCTTTTAAATATAAGTCCATCCACATGGGTTTTATTTCTTGAGGTAGTTCATTTTAGCACAGCTTTCCCTATTTTTGTTTAGTATGTATTTAGAATAACAATTTCTGCTCCCTTCCCCGCCATAATTACAACAATGGATAGCAGCCAAGGCGTTCTTCTTAATGTGAATGCCTACCAGTTTGAAGCTTCTTCTAAAACAAAATAACTGTTTGAAAGATTATGGTTGCTCTGTTTTTTCCAAGACCTTAAGTGCCCTTTCGAAGGCCACATTTAGTCATACAATGACTTACATTGTCTAGTTATAACAAATTCTCTCAGGCATTTGTGTGAAACTGCTAAAACAGTAAAGATGTAAGGGCCTCTAGATAAGAGTAATTCATTTTTCCCCGTTACTTTAGACTAATGTGCTTTCCCTGACGGAATGTTTTCAAGAGAACTTTATCTGCTGCTGATCCTTTTATTTTATGGTACTTCTGAAACATTAACTTCCAGGCCACACTTTTTAATGCAGTGGGGGCTAACCTTTTGGGTAGGTGTGCCACAAATTGAACCTCGCATCCTTTCCACAGGCCATGCAGATGCCCTTTCCATGCCAGATCTGTTGCTCTACTTCCTACTCTATTTGTTGCTCTGTTCTGAGCTTCTTTCTTGATCTGCTGTATGCCACTAATGTCACACATTCTGCAAGTTGGCCATTCCTGTTTTAAAGGCCCTGAACTTTTGTTGGGAAGGGTGCTACATAAATTAATAATTGTTTTAAAATGCTTTCTTATAGGGTGGTTATGGAGAGACTTGTGAAGTTTTAATACAGCATCATCCTAGACTATTTCAGACAATTATTCAGATGACACAGAATGAAGATCTACGGGAAAACATGGTATTATAGTTTTTTGCAAAATGTCCCTGATATTTTAGGATCTATGCTCTGATTTGATTATATCGATGAACATTGTAGCCCAATGAATATTCTGGTTAGTATAAAATGTAGCATAGGGTTTCACAATGGTTATTAAATATGAACCAGTTTCTACCATGGAGAGAGGGTGTAAAATTAGATGCGTAGGCATCATTAAATGGGTTTGAGTTCTAGCTGAAACCCTGTTAGTGTTGTCAGAACTTAGCAATTTTGGCAGATAGGTCATGAGAGCTGGAAGAACAAATTGTTGCAAGCTTTTAACAAGATCACTACAAAGTACTGTAAACATACAGTGACATTACAGAAAAAAGGCTATTCTGCTTCAGTACTGGCTTCTGCAGATATCCACTGTAGGCTGTCTGCTAGGAACCTTGACTTTCTTGGAAGACAGTTACTTGCATGCCTTCATGCATTTTTCCCTCTATAATTCACATTTTGTATTACAATATAGAGACCACAACTACCTGTATTCTATTTCTTCAAGTTGTCATGGGTCTTGAAATTCTATCCAGCCCATTCACTTCTCAGTGATTAGCCTTTTCTTTGTTTCCTTTGGCATTTAACTAGTTTAATGTAGTTTTTCTTTCAAAAAGATTTTTGCCATCTCATTGTACAATGAGATGCCTATCCACGTTTGTCTTGATCATGATTTAATCATTAGGTAGTAGCTGTAAATCTTCCTGAGATTCTGTATTTTAAGACAAAAAGTCTACAAAAAGCACATATTGTAATATGTGGGTGCAACTTCACTGAGTCTGGCTTATTAAATATGAGATGTTTAAATTGTATGGGAGGTGCAGAACTAGACAGAGGAAACAAGTTTGAGGACTTGTAGATCTGCATAAGGTAGTAGTCATAATCCTGGGAAAGGAAGAGGTTTTGTAAGTACAAAGGCTGAGAAAGTTACTTAATAGAAGGATAAGGAGCTACTTTAGGGGAGTTTAGCTAGTAGAAGGAAAAAACAAGAGAACCCAATTGTGGAAGCCAAGACAGAGTAAAAAGGAGCATATGACCAACTTAAATAGTTGGAAAAAATTTTTAAGCAAGCTTCGGATTTTTTCGAACTATTTAAGTTGATCTAATAAAACAGATTCACCCAAAAAACCGTGTCTGCCTATAATATAGTATTTATTCATAAGTGATAAGTGACTGCCAACATGGATTCATTAAAAACAAGTCATGCCTAACCAAGGTGACCAGTCTTTTTGGAATGGGAAGCAATGGATGTGATACACCTCAAGTTTAAAAAGGCTTCTGATGCCATTGCACGACTTTCTCATAGCAAACTAGTTTTATTTTACTTTCTCATAACTAAAAAGAAAAAAAAAGTCTAAGGGCATAGGCAGACAAGGTTCTTTGGGTAAATCTGATTCCCCTAAAGAACCTTGTCTGCCTATGTTCTTAGACCAACACAGCTACAACCTACACCCCTATGAAGTTATATACATTTAAATTATATAACCATGAATGATGATTTCTGTGAAGTTACCAGTTTTGCTAGCTATATGTTATAGATTAGGTAGAGTGTAACACTTAATAAGGTTACATGTTATTTCCTTTATTTTAATGTAACTAGTTGCGGCAGGTTCTAGAACACTTGTCCCAGCAGAGTGAAAGCCAATACCTTAAGATCCTAACAAGCCTTGCTGAAGTTGCTACAACAAATGGTCATAAACTGCTTAGGTAAGTGTCAAAATGTAAATAAGTCAATAATGAAAAAAATGTTTTTACTAATGTGTTTGGTTCCACTTATTTATCCAGTCTAGATTTCTAGTCACACTGGACTGAAGACATAATGTCAGTTATTCATGCTTTTTATGTTTGGAGAAAGCCTCAGCCACTGGGATTTGCCTCTTAAGTCTCTTTAAAAAAAACTAAAAAAACCAATTTCTTACTGGAGTTGATTGACCTCAGATTAGATCTTGTATAGCTATTCTTTGGATATGTCACCGTTTCACTTCCACTTCTCTGGAAGTCCTCATTCATACTCTCATTTTCTCCTGTTTATAGCAGCCCTGAAAGCATTTCTGACATCTGTGCTGCTCAAACTGGTATGTGCAGCCATCTTGCATAAAGAAGTGTACTCATTTGTCATGTTATTCGAGCTTCTTGATACTGGACTTGATTCCAAGTGGATTTGGTCTTTAGAAGCCTACATGGAACTTTTTGGAGACTCTTGTCCTATTCCATGTATCTGTTGTTACCATGAAGCAGGGAGTAGATATAGTACATTTTGTTTCTTTCTGTAGCTATAGCTATTTGTAATATCTTTCCTTCACTGTTCAGCATTTCATTCCTTTTTTTTCTACTATTCTAAATCTTTTAATCCTTATATGTAATGTATTTTGGGATATACCTGTAAGTAACTGGGATACCTTAGAACTCGTCTCCCACTTGTAAGTTTTGTCACTGACTGACCATCATTTCATACAATTTCTTCATTTGTGGTATGAAACGCCTCTCCTAGGGTATCTGAGAAAATTAAATAGGTATTACTCGTTTCAGTATCAGAATCTACTAATTTAGATGATAGTGAGACAGTTTCCTTGAATCATTTTGGAGATGCAGAAGATGCTAACGGATAGAATTGCTTCATGATAGCTTTCTGGAAAAGAGAAGGGAAGGTTTAGTGACAGGGTGTTAATTGGAGAGATTATCAGTCTCAAGAAAAGGAAAGAACTTCTTGAGTATTTCTCTGACAGTCTGGGATAAGCTACTATCTTACTCTATCAACAGCATGACCAATTAGCCATTCCCTCACACCCAGCAAAATGACTTTATGCCAGTTATGTTGAGTATAGATCCAACTTCCAGGTAGCTTGTCAGAACTCCCCATGTAACTCATTCTTCCACAAACTCATTTGTTGTCTTCTCTTTTGACATGGTTTTGCTTTAATAGATAAATATTAATATTGTGTAAAAAAAATCTCAGATTTAAATGAAATAAATTTTAATTTTGTGTTTTGTATTGCAAAGATAAAGCTTTTTTGAAAAACGAAACAAAACCTCCAACCTCCTAGCCTTCTAACATGAGCATGGAAGAAAGCATCACTGTTAGGGTTGGATACTTGTACATTTGCAACTCTTTCAAAACGGGAAAGTTTCAGAAGGGCCGTAGCTGTTGTGTGTGAACAGGCAGGGAACAATTCACATGTAATAACATTGCTTTAACGTTAATGTTGCTTCATCCAGTTTAATGTTGGAACAGTTTTGCTACATTTGAATCATTCTTGCCTTCTTCACACACAGCAATTAGGGCGTCTACATGAGATGTTTACTGTAGAGCTGCCTAATTAGCTTCACAGTAAACGTTTTCATGTCTACATGTATGCCCCTATTAGGGTGCGCAAAACTAATAAACTCCGGAGCAAGCTAGTACTTGTAAAAAAAACAAGTGCTAGCCTGCTTTGGAATTTTTTTTTGTGTGTGCAGCGGCTGGCTGAGGCACTAGGGTGCTTCAGTGCACGGGCCACCTGCCCTGTGCTGAAGCACCCTCATGCCCCCAGCAGCCCCTCTGCAGCACATTGAGCCCAGTCAGAGCAGTCCTTGGCTACTGCCAGCTGGAGCTGCTGCAGCCAGCCTCAATGTGCTGAGCATGAATGCACTCCGGAGCAATATATTCAAGTTTGGTTTTTTTTGCTCACGGGTGCATGTTCAAATGTTGTGCCCAGGAGCAAAAAAACCTCTAAAGTAATAAGCTCTGGGGTTTATTCATGCACATTAATTGCAGGTATAGATGTGCCCGGTATGTACAAGCTGCTGCTCTTTTGGAACATTTCCCTTTTGAAAGGGTTCCAAATGTACATGTATCCATGTCCTCGGTTTAGGATAGGATTAGGTCTCCAAACTTGTGGGATGCTCACAAATGCTCCAATATGTAAAATGGTAAAATCACAGATGGATCAGATTTCTGCTAAGGTAACAAAGGATACAGGGTTTTCTTTTATACTCCTATAGTTTCATAAAATTAATTTTAGATCTTAAGTTTTATATCTCAAACTTGCTATAATGGTGTAAATAGATTCAAAAGCTCAGCTTCCTACTTTTCTTCATTGTAGTCCATCTCTATCCTTCAGTAAAGTTTGTTAGTGGTTATATATGGATACAGTTTTTGGCCACAGTCTTTTTGTGTGACCTGGGCAAATAGTTTATTCACTCTTGCTGTGTCCACATGAGTGCAGAAGTTTATTTCCCCGGGGACAAGAAACAGCCGCACACTTTGTCTGGCTGCTTCTTGTCCCTGGGGAACACCTGCGCCATATGCCCTCTGTTGCGCAGTAGTTTAGGTGAGGTAGGGGAGGCTGGGACCAGCAACTGTGCTGGCCCCAGCAGCCCTCTCTGGAATTCTGGGGGCCTTGGGGTGCTGAAGCTGTGTTGCTCCTGCAGCTAGGAGCCTGACCAGTAGCCAGAACATGGCTCTGGCAGGCCAGGCTCTGGTTTTGGGCAGTGCGTGCTGCTGCTTTTTCTGCATGGGATTTATTTTATTTTTTTTGACCCTGGGATTTTCCAAGGTCACGCCTCCCGAATACCTGAATGTGTGGTGCTTCAGACAGGTCTGTGGCATCACGTACTGCGTGGCTGCGCTTGTCTGGATGTGGCCTCTGTGTTTTCATCCTGTTATGTAAAATGATTAGTTGTCTTAACCTCACAAAGGGATTGAGAATAAAATGTGGAGTACAGTACTTGCTTATAATAGGGGGTGTAGTAGAGGAGTGGTTATGATGTCCTACCACAGATCCAAAGTTGTTAGTTCAGGCATCACTTCAGACTTCCACTAAAAGTTGCCTCAAGTCAGCTGCAAATGGGTATCTGGTCATTCAGACTGAGTGGGGGGAGGGTCAAAGATGGCTGGTTTTGATGCCTTAACCATGCTAATATGATGAATCACCTAGGCTTTGGATGGAGTTTTGACCCTTCCATATTTGAGTGAAGTATTGGGAGCTTATAGGTATGTAGAGCTTACTTATACTATTATAATTGGACTTCTTGTAAAAGAGAGGTTGTTTTGCTGTTGGAGCACTGCAGAAAGCATTGATGTTTTAAAAATTCAAGTTGTGTAAAAACTGCTTTTCTTTATCACTTGTGTTAAAGAAATGTTTCATAGTAATGGGGCACAGAGTGAGGACTAGCTGGAACTCTAGTTTTGAGTCCATTAAGCTGGCATTATCCCAGCATTAATTCTTCCTGAGAATTGATCATATTCTTTCTAAAAGCATTCTCAACCTGGAACGTAAAGAGATTGGAACTAAAAACTACAGTGTAATCAACATTTGATATTATGTTTTTCTCAAAAAATTCAATTAGTTTCTTATGTTTGCGAGAGGTAAATAAGAGGAAGGAAGATGTGAGCTCATCTAATAAGGTGCAAATTTAAAACCTACTTACATATTTCCAAAGTACATTAAATACTTATTTTATTTTAAAAGGCAGTCTAAGAAGTGAAGTTTCTTTTATGGTTCCTTTCTTAAAGAAAACGTACAAATTACCCATACTGTTGACTGTCATGTCTGGACCCTTTTGCTTTCAAAGTATGCAGGGAAATCAAGTTTTAACACAAAGTTGTTGGAGCCAGTTTAAATATAGCACATTTATGCATTGATTTTGTGTTTTGTATTGCAGACAAATATGAATCTAAGTATTTAAAAAATCCTAGACTTGGCTGAATGCCAAATTAAGCATACAATTGCTAGCCATATTTTAGGTCTCCAAGTCTCCAAATATGCAAAATGCCAGCCAGTGCCTCTACAATGAAAAAAATCACGAACAGTTTAGCATTCTGCTAAAGCATAAATTTGGGATGCTTCTGCAAATCTGCTTGAAAGAATATTATACTTTTGTGGGGGCATTATTGTTGCATGGCATTATTTGGTCTCACCTGCATAGGTGGAATCTGACTGTGTTATAACCCTGTTAATAAACAGTTCAGTAACTTAATTGGGCAATACCCTCCAAGGCTTTTCAGAGTGAAGAACTTCTGTACTGGGCATGCATAATTCACAGCCTGTAATGTCAGATTTGAAACTTATCAATAGTGGTAAAATAATAATGTCTTGCAGTTGCTTAAGATTAGTGACTTACAGGCTCTTCAGTTTTCAACCCTTCTTTTATCAGACTTTGAGAACTTTTGGATGAAAGACCCTTTCACAGAAAACGGGCTGAACTTGACTGACTTCGTACTAGAGTTTTGTATAGCAAGGCTATTGCCATGGCAGGGTATTTTATACCTCTTCTGAACTGGCTTATACAAATCTTTTTTGAGGGTGCGCATGTGTGTGTTCTTTCTTCCTTGCATTTTATTCTATTCCTACCTGCTACAACCAGAATTCAACTTAATACTTGTCACGGTGGGGTCCTTTAGGAGGGCCGTGATCTCCTCGAGGTCCCTCGTTCCGTGTCAAGGCCGGCCCAAGGCACCCTCTTATTCTCGCCTGCCACGTCTTTGATGTTTGTATCTAGTTGGGAGGCTGCCTACGACTCCCTGGGCACGGCTACTCGGGACCTCTGTCCCCGTGTGTTCCTAGACCCCCCTGGGGGTCTCCCAGTGTAATGGGTGCTCCCCAGGCACCCTAGCCTTGTGGGCTACACGTGGCTCCTACCAACCCCATATACCACGCCCCAAGCCTTGCTGATGTACCAGACATTGGACTGTCAACATAACATGCCCATTCTCCCGGGCCTCCTCTGTAATCTAGCCCACTCCTGGGCCTCCCCTGTAGTCTAGCCCACTCTGGGCTCTCTCTAAAAGTGTTGTCCGGCTCAGGGACCCTCTAGCGGGTCTCCGGTCCTTTAGGCCAACCGCACGGCTACCCTCTCTGATCCAGGCTCACTGCACTGCTATCCCCTCTCCTCAGGGACAACTGCAGCACCCAGCCTCTGCTTGAGGGCTGTTGCCGCACTAGCCTACGGCCGTGCTCGCTAAGCCCGTCTTGGGCTTCTCAGTATGGCGCTCCCCCTCTTCGGGGCTTGCCGTGCCTACCTTGGGCTTCTCACTAGTCCCCCCCTTTCTCAGGGACTCGTTGGGCCCACGCTGGGCTCCTCTAAAGTACGCTCCCCCTTCCTGGGGCTCGCCACGTCCCACCCTAGGGCTTCCTGGCAGCGCCCCCTTCTGGGGCTTGTCATGCCTGTGCTGGGGCCTCACAAAGCCGCCCCTCTCCGGGGCTGGGGTCTACGTACCCCGCACACAATCCGGGGTCTCTCTTCCCCAACCGCAACCCACTGGCTGCGCTCCTCGCCGCCAGCTACGCCTTCACTGGCGCGCAAGCTGCACCTTCACTGGTGCTGGGGTCCCCATATCACTGGGGTTCCCCCTTAGAGTACTATGCCCTCACTCAGGTGCTGGGGCCCCACCCCTCTGGGGTCCCTATGAGGCCTCCTCCAACCCCTACAGCCTCACCCAAACCTCCGGTGTAATAACAAAGCCTGAACACAAACATAAACTAGAGCCTCCTGGCTATAACTCAGCTCAAAGCCACCTGGCTATAACTTAACATTGCTCAACTCTGATCGAGCGGTACCTACTGTCAGGCTTCTCTCCTCATCCTAATTCCCGAAGCTCCTGCCCCTCTGGCTGCTGGCAGAGAACTGCCAGCCTGGCCTTGACTCTTGTCTTTATAGGAGCCAGGCCCTGCCCCCTACAGGCAGCTGGCTCTCCTTAGTTGCCCCGGCAACCCGCAGCTGTGCTCATTATGTTCTGCCAGGGCTCTCTCTCCCTGGCAGTTTCTACTCCCTAGGAGCAGGCACTGAGGTGCCCTGCGACAATACTATTCTGGGGCACACTTTGGTTGTCATAAATAAGTCTATGAAGTCTATTCCTACTAATTTTCGCAAGTTGAAATTTTTTTGTATCTGATTCTGCTTTGCTTACAACAGAATATACTTTTCTACTTCCCATTAGCACAGGGGTGAGCAAAATGCAGCCCGGGCGCCGGATGCGGCCCGCTAGGCCATTCTATCCGGCCCACGGGGCCCCTAAAAAATTTAGAAAATTTATTATTTGTCTGCCTCTGACTGCCTATCATGTGGCCCTCAATGGCTTGCTAAAACTCAGTAAGTGGCCCTCCACCCAAATAATTGCCTGTCCCTGCATTAGCATGTCAGCAGGTTCCATTGCATCTGGTAGCATCCTGATCACATTGCAGACCTCTAGTCAGTGCTACTTGTCAATTAATTAATTAAGTTATGACCATCTAGATTTTATATTAATTTTCCAGATGTTGCAGGGACACTTACTGCACCTAGATGGTGAGTCTAGATGAGTGCTGTCTCATTTAGATACACGGGTATTAAACTATTTTTATTCAGTAAGAGTTATAATTAATAACTTTTACATTTACCAGTAATACTGCGTGGGACAGTATATGTGACCTAGTATGCTATGCAACACATTTATTTATTTATTTTTTGAAGACATGGTATAATTTCTATCATTTTAATGAGTTGAAGAAGGCAGATGGCTCTTAATGAATGTACTCAGGATGGTACTAGATCAGTGGTTCTCATCCTTTTTAGATTCAGGGCACCCCTCCATAACTTCTAAACTTTGGCACCCCAGTTGAGAATCCCTGCTGTGATGTCTCTGTTTACCTTAGTAGTTCCTGTCTGGGATACTGCTGCCCCTTGTGTCTCATGCACAGTCAGATAAGCCTAAACCAGGCAGAAGTTCCTACTCTTGCCACAGCTCTTCATTGTCTGCAAGACCCCCATGTTTCTCGTGGAAACGTAGGTGCATGGAACAGTTCCACCTGCCCTGCATGACCGTTTCCAGGAAGAGAAAGAGACCTTTGACCAGGAAGGGCTGTAGCAGGACTGAGCGTTCCCTTCTGGTATAGGTTTATCAGATAACCCTAATACAGGCAAGAGCATTTGCTTTTGTGGCAGCCCTTCTTGTTCTGGCTGTGCCCAAGCTTGTGGGGCCGTTCCACCTGGCCATGGCAGTAACAGCACCATGGTAACCAGTTGAGAACCACTGTACTAGACTCTAGTAAGATATATATTTATCACAGTTCTAGCAGCAGACTGAAAGGTATTTTCATTTTTGGATGAGAAAATGTCTCTGAGTCATCCTGATCTATGGTTAGTGGTGTTTCAAGGCCTTGTTGTAGAACTACTCCTGTATTGTCTACAAATTTAATTTCTTATGATCCATTAGAGATGAACACAAAAGAACTTCTATTTACTATTTTGCATTCAGTTACTCATGCTAAATATGTGTAGACCTGTGCAATAAAGCCTATAGCCTGTGTGCTTAATCTTGTGGGTGGGTGTGTGGATAAGGGGTATATTCATGTTTGTTAGGCACATAGTTTTTTTCTTATCAATGTACATCAGAGAGATGTAACCCTTGGTGATCTGAATCCTAACATTTAAAGAAAAGTGTCTTTAAATAGCATCACTTAAAAAAATGTTGAAAGAATACTTAAATATTCCATTTTTTCCCCCAGCTTGTCAAGTAATTATGAAGCTCAAATGAAGAGTCTCTTAAGGATCGTGAGGATATTTTGTCATGTCTTTCGCATTGGCCCATCCTCTCCCAATAATGGAAATGACATGGGCTACAATGGAAATAAAACTCCAAGAAGTCAGGTGTTCAAGGTCAGAAAAGTATATGATGTTGTTAGGAAGATAGACATGAAAATGATAAATTTAACAAAGCATTTATTCATTAATCAGACATCTCATGAACAGGAAGTAAGTTTATTTGATTACACTACTCATTTTTAAGTTAGATGCATCTCTTTGCTTTTTGTCTAATGATTTTTACATGAGCTCTATTTAACCATGGCTTACATCTCATCTCATTCTTCTTGTTCTTTATATTCTCTAATATGTCATTTATAAGGCATATAAATGCTTTTATACCTTGGCTTTAGCAAGACTTTGATATGGTATCCTGCAACATTCTCTTAAGCAAGCTAAGGAAGTATCGGTTGGATGAATGGACTGTAAGATAGAATGGATGGATCATTGGGCTCGCAGGGTATTAATCAATGGCTTGATCTAGTTGCCAGCCTGAGTGCTCTAGGGTTCAGTCGTTTGGCCAGTTTTGTTCAATGTCTTCATCAGTGATCAGGAAAATGGGATGGAGTGCACCCTCAACAAGTTTGTGGTTGACACCAAGCTGGGTGGAATAGCAGATATGTTGAAGGGTAGGGCAAGCGTTCAGAGAGACCTAGACAGATTGGAGGATTGGACCAAAAGAAATATCATGAAGTTTAATAAGGTCAAGTGCAAAGTCCTGCTCTTAGGACGGAACAATCCCATGCACTGGTCCAGGCTGTGACTGACTGGCTAAGAGCAGCTCTGCAGAAAAGGACCTGGGGGGGTTACAGTGGACAATAAGCTGAATATGAACCAATGGTGTGCCTCTTGAAACAGGCTAAGGGCAAAGTGAACTGCATTAGTAGGAGCATTGTCAGCAGATCGAGGGAAGAGTTTCTTCCCCTCTACTTGGCGCTGGTGAGGCTAAATAGTTTTGGGCCCCCTACTACAGAAAGGATATAGACAAATTGGAGAGAGTCCAGCAGAGAGCAACAAAAATGGTTAGAGGGCTGGGGTCCATTACTTATGAGGAGAGGCTGAGGGAACTGGGTTTATTTAATCTGGAGAGGAAAAGAGTGAGAGGGGATTTAATAGCAGCCTTTAACTACCTGAAGAGTGGTTGCAAAGAGGATAGAACTAGACTGTTCTCAGTGGTGGAAGATAACAGAACAAGGAGTGATTGTCTCAAGTGGGAGCAAGGGAAGTTTAGGTTAGATATTAAGAAAAACTTCCTCATGAGGAGGGTAGTAAAGCACTGGAACAGGCTACCCAGAGAGGTGGTGGAATCTCCGTCCTTAGAAGTTTTTAAGACCCAGCTAGACAAAGCATTGTTTGGGATGACAAAAGCCTTTAGTTGGGGATGGTCCTGCTTTGAGCAGGGGGTTGGACTAGATGTCCTCCTGAGGTCCTTTCTAGCTCAAGTTTTCTATGATTCTATAATTACCAAGATATTTTTGTGGAATAATAGCTTTTCTTTCTGTTTTAGTAGTATTTATGAGTATTCTCAGTGTTTTAAAACAGAGCTGTCCAACTTCTAAGTGACTGGGGGCCACATTTCCCTGAATCCATAGTAAAGGCTGCACCAGTGTGGTGGGGACCATGGGTCTTGGGGACCTCATGTTCTACCACCTTCTCCTCTTCCTTCCTGCCTCCTTTCTCCCCTGTTGCACTCCTTGCCTAGGAACCTTCCCACTGCACTGCCTTTTTGGCCCCTCTGCTGTACCACATGCCTCCCTGCTGCTGCCCCCCCACTGCACCAGGCACCCTCCTCTCTGCTGCTCCCTATATCTCCCCACTGCACCGTGCACCCCAACTCATTCTTAGCCCTTCTGAAGCAAGTTTCCCTACGCTCACCACTTGGGCACCCTTGACCACGGGCACCCTGAAGACTGCCATGCTGTACTGCCCTGCTCCCTGGAGCAGGGGTAGTGGGAGGATGGGAAAGCCAGAGGGATGGGGAGCCTGGAGTTCCTGCCTGCTGCTGCAGCTGGAGCAATAGAGGGCAACAGAAGCTGTGTGGGAACCGAGGGCTACAGTTTAACCCCTTGCAGGCCTCTTGTGGCACGTGGGCTGGCAGTTGGACAGCCATGCTCTAAAATAAGAAACACAGTAGATTCAGTATCTGTAATTCTAAATTAATATTTGGAAGCAATTCAAGTTTTATTGTTTTATTTGATCTAACTTCTTGAAGTAGATGCGGTTTTAAGTCAGTTCTTAATCTATGAGTTATTTTTACTTTTAATCATTTTCCAGAGGCAGTATTATTTAAGAATATTCATATTCAATTAATTAATTAGCTTCACTGCTGCCTTTAAACCTTTGCTGTAGCTACTGGTTTGTAAAAAAACAAACAAACAAACAAAAAAAACTTTGAAGGTATATTATTACATGCATGCTACATGTATGATAGTTTGTTTTGTACAGCATTTCAATTTGCTGTTGACCCAGTGCCTGCCTTTTAAAACAGCTGTTTAAAAAAAAAAAGTCTGTCAGTTGTACTTTCTTTGTGCATGTCATTTTAGCATTAAGTAGTATATGTATGATGCAAGATTAATACATTAACAGGGATACAGCAGTCCCAAAACTGGATATTCAGAGTCACACTTTGTAAGGGTTAAGTATTAGTTTATTTTATTTTGTTGAACAGCTTCTGCTGAAACAAGGAAATAAATTCTATAATTTAAAAAGATATTTCTTGGTAATATTTTAAAACCAGGTTTTAAAATAGGTTATTTAATTCTTGATAGTAATATAGTTAGAAGCAGGGTGAATCATGACTTTTGTCATGAATTAAATCAACAATTGTCAAAAACCTAATTATATACTTTAATTTTGCTTTACCTTTCTACTACTTTAAATTTTCATTAATTGATAACTACTAAAACACCTTGGTAGTTTTTACATTAAATTGGCAGCTTTTACTAACCGAAAGGAGACAAACATTTACCCATGCACATCTATTTAAGTAGCTAGACAGACAACTTTTCAGACACATTTTTAATTTTGACTTTTTTTAATGTTTGGAACTGAGAGTAGTACATATCTTTTACTAGGTGATCATTACTATTTTTACTTGTGATTTTTTTCAGGCTGATTTGGATGGAGACAGGCATTCATTTAAAATCCATACATGCGGTGTTTCAGAAATTGCTGATTAAATTTTTACTTAGCTTGATCTCCATCTTTTTTTCTTTATGAGCTGTGTTGGAAAATATGAGATTTTTTTTTGCAAAAATATTGCTAATGCAATTATACTCTCTTCTTAAATGAAATCCTACTTCAGTTGAATATTTTGATATGTAGCTGAATGTTGCTAAACATTTCATCCCATATTTGTTTTACACACTCAATTACCACCCTTTTCAGCTAAAGTTAGTAGCAGTGTGTAATATGTAAAGCTTATATTACACAGTTGACACTTTTCTGAAAGTACACTGATACACGCTTTATAAAGGATGTACGACCAATCTACACTTTCCAAAGAAATGATCAAAATATATTTAAGTAGATGATGTCATAGGTTTTTGATTAATCGACAACACCGAATGTTCATGATTTTTTTTTTTTTTTTGCTTGGGGGTTTAATGAAATTTATCTATAATTAAAATCTTAAAATTAGAAGGAATAATTCTTCCTTGGATTCTGCTTGGTCTCTTTAGTACTTTAAGATTAACTGACCTCCACTTTTCAAGGGGTTAAATATAAATTAGAGGAAAGGGTTTAGTTCTGCCCTAGCAAGAGAGAGTGCTGAATTAAAAATCCTGAGGTTATATGTTGCAAACAGTGTGTGTCCCTTTTGGACTTGGAGTATTTGTGTTACTGGAGTCCCAAGAAACTTTTGGGTCCTCCCTATGAATTGATTTTGACTCTTCCTTATCCTTAGCTTAAAGTGCTGCCATTGATCTTAGAGTTTGGTTCTAAGGGATAGAGGCCAAAATGTTCTGACTTTGTTACAGAAGTATTAGTAGTTTCTTAAGTAGTTGATAGTAGTCTCTTAAGTAGTTGATTTGCAGACCAATTGGGGCTTTGCAAATACAAAACACAGAAGAAGAGGGAACAAATGCAAAAGACTTGAATGTTGTGCTCCTTTTAGGACCTGTGAAGAGCTTTGATCATGGGTGTTACAACAGCCTACTTCATTCTTTGTAAGATTCATTTTATAGCAGATACATTCTTCATAGGATAAAGCAGTTAATTGCCCTCTGGGAAAGGTAGTTGTAGAAACTTCTATTTGGGAAAAAACAGGTATCTTATGCCATGTTGTATTTCACAGTCAATTCAAAGTATGTGTTGTTGTGTGCTGAAGTTGGGGACATAAATTTGATTGTTGGTGCCTAGGCTGTGCACCACTTTTTTCCTAGACTAGTAGAGAGTGAAAGTGAATATATTTAATAGAAATATACACAATAGTGGGCTGTCTTTGGCATTTAATAACATTGATGCCTGAATCAAGGAAAGTTGTTTTTAGATAATATAACAAAGGGGAAAAGGAACCTTTCCTGAAATCAAATTAACCATTAGAATAATTAAAAAAAATATGACAGCCTTCATTTTTACTAAGCTGGTACCTTAGCTTTGTCTTGGTTGAAGATGTCCAGACAGCTAACCTGCCTAGGCGTGCTCATTGATGCTAGAATAAAATATGGACAGCATTGAATGAGGATGGCAGGAATATGTATATAAAATGCCAAGTTAAAAAGCTATACTAGCAAAACAATAATTGAAACCATCTAATCATGACATTGAGTACATCCCTTGAATTTAATTAAGATCCTGAGAGATACTGAGTTGAAAAATGGAAATCATTTAGTATGGCAAGTCAGATGCATATATCTATAAGGCATAGTAGGAATTAAAAGAAGAGTACTCAGACACCAGCAGAGAGAGGAGTCTCACAAGCTTAACATCTGAAAGGTTTAGAGGAAAACATGAGAAAAAAATAAGGGTATTCCAGGAAATGCCTGTCTTAGTCTTGGTGAATCTGTTTTTTTTTCATATTTTTTTGTACATTCAATACATCTTGTATTAAATTAGAACCTTTGTTTACATTATGTTGTGGTAAAGTTTGATTGTGCATCTTTGTAGGGAAGCCAACCTTTTTTGATCTTATGTCAGATGCAGCTGGGGAGAAAATGGTACCTACACTGGCGCACACAGTTGAGGTAACCCCAAAGAAGCACCATCCAGTTATTGGTGTGATAAGTAGGGAAACAGGAGGAAGAAGAGCAAGCTTTAGAAATGGAGTACTAAAAAAATTCAGGGAGGGAAATCTGAGTCCACATCCATTCTTTAAATACTCCTATAAATAATGCTTTAAAGTGTGGGAATGACCTGATACATATGATAACATGTTTGTATGCAAGAGGTGTCCATCGTTCAGTAGGAGTTCAGTTCTCAAATCATAGTGTCTGTTAAGTAAACCCTCTATCAGCTTTTGAGGCCTAGCCTGGACTTCTGCCAAACCTGTGGTAAATTTCTGTTGGGAAGTAACCTCTGTAATTTCTTGAGTATCAGGGTGCAGAATAAAGATTTAACATTCTAAAGGGGTAGACTTGTATTATGTGCTGTGTTCATAGCTGGAAGGAGGTTTGTACCCCATAGCTTGGTCAAACCAGTAGAACAGCCAGTCTTTAATGTTTATGGATAGCTTTTTGCATTTGAGATGACTACTAGAGGTGCACTGATACATTGGTCTGATATTGGATCAATACCAACATAAAAACTGGCTGTATCGGATATCAGCCTGATGGCGCTGATAATTTGGCTGATAAAATGCGCGTGCTGTGCGCAGCAGCAGTGCAGCACTCAGGCAGCGTGGAGAGCTGCCTCCAGCTGGTAAGTCTGGTGTGGAGGAAGGTGTGTGGGTTGGGGAGCAGATCAACGCCCCCTGCGGTGAGGGAGGGTGCAGGGACAGGCGCTGCCTGGGCAGGGTGGGCGTGGGGGGGGGCAGCTCCCACCACTGCTTGCACCCTGCGGGGGGGTGGCGTGTGCCACCGGTTCTGTGTGGGGTGGGGTGGGCTGCAGCCAGGGCTGCGTGGGGCTCTTCTCGGTGCGGGCTGGGCTTGGAGTGGGCTCCAGCAGCCCTGGGAGGATGCTGCATCCACCCCAAATTTCGCCTCTGCTTCCAGTAGTGCCACAGCCAGCTGCCCAGCACAGCCCTGGCTCTTCCTGGCACGGGGGTAGAGACAGGGCATTGAGCTGGAGCAGTTCTGGGTGGTTGGCAGTGGCAGTGCTGGGAGCTGAGCTGTGGTGAAATTCGGGGTGGATGCAGAATCCTCTCACCACCGCTGCAGCCTGCCCTGCCCTGCGCAGGTCTGGGAGCACCCCCTCCATGCCCTCCCAAGCTGCAGCTCTGCCCCTGCTGCCCCACCTGGGCAGTGCCTGCCCCTTCCCTCACTGTGGGGGGATGTTGATCTGCTCCCCCAACCCCCCTTACCTCCCACCTCCCTTTCCAGCACGCTGGATTTACCAGCTGGAGGCAGCTGTATTGGAAATCAGATTGGTATCAGCCAATATGCCTCCTTCAGTATTGGATATTGGTATTGGCCCCCAAAATCTGTTGGTGCACCCCTAATTACTATGTATTTAATATGAGTTGCATATATATGTTAGTTGTGGACTGAATTTACAGAACTTGTTAAGCTTAAGGTATTCCTGTCAACTGATGGTCTAGTTTAACACAGCATGTAAAAACTCCCTTGTCTTGAAATTGAGTACGAAGTGGCCAGGCGGGGAGAGGGGTAGGGGAAGTGGCAGGTAGCTACTGCAGCCCCGGCTCTGACTCTAGGCTGCTGCCTGTGCCTCACCACCTCTGCACCCCCTGCATCTTTCTGTCCCCAGTGGCCTTGTGTCCCTTTGCCCTATCCTCATCTTCACCCCCGGCTCTTGCCCCTCCTCAGCATATCCTTGCTTGTCTGTGCTCCAGCCTGGGGCATAAAGAACATCCCCAGCCCAACTCTGTAGCAGCAATGTAGTGCCAGCACTTGCTGCTACTGGACCAGGCTGGGGCTGTGCTTTGTGCCTCCAGCTGGAGCCTGCTGGAGTAGGCAGAGGCTGCACAAGTGTGGGGAGGAGGGCAGATCCTGAGTCAGGGAATAGTGGGGTGGGAGGGAGATTGGGGGGCAGATGGGGAAGGGAGATGCGGGCCCAAGGCTGCGGGGAGACGGGGATGAGGGGGAAGACAGGGACAGTAGAATAATTCTTGTGTTGCAAAGAACTCAGAAACACCACAGCAGGTCCGAATGTTTTTGACACTATGGATTCGTCTCTGAAATCTGGATTTATCTTGTGAATTTTGGAGGTGTTTGTATGCCTAATACTGTTAATATTGCACAACACCCTGCAGCACCCTTAAAAGTATTTTATGGCACCCTACAGTGTCATGGCACCCTGGTTGAGAACCACTTCACTAAAAACAGAGATTTAAAAAAAAAAAAAAAAAAAAAGGCTTTTGTTTACTGTGCTGAATTGATAGATTGTACTTCGCTTTTTATTTAATTTTATGTAATTTTCTAAATGCCTTTTGGATATATAAAAATAATTTACATGAACATATACTTGTTCTCATTTCTAAGATGACTTATTAGAATTTCATGTAGCAGTTTAATTATGTGCATGGAACTAATGTTGTATTTATGTATTTTATCAGTTGCATGCTATCCCCATTGCAAACATTCATAAAAATGCCCAATTATGTTTTTGTTACCTCTTTGTTCATTGCAGCCCCTGGAATTACTGTGGCACTCATTAGATGAATGGCTTGTTCTGATCGCTACAGAATTGATGAAGAACAAAAGAGACTCTACCAACATTACTTCCATCTTACTAAAGCAAAAAGGGCCAGAGCAGCAGGATGCTACGCCTACGCCTTCCTTTGACACTGCAGGAACTGAGAGTGGAGAAAAGCTATCCATTGACGCAAGGGATTCTAAAGCATATGATGCTGCCGGGAAGCAGGAAGCTTGTGCTGATTGCCAGGATGTTATCTCCATGACAGCAAACAGGCTAAGTGCTGTCATTCAGGCATTTTATATGTGCTGCTCCTGTCAGATGCCTCAGGGGTAAGAAGAATTCTGCTTGTTACCTGAACTATTACTTTTTTTTAAACATCTATACTTTCCTGGGAAAACATTAATGCTGACCAGCTTAAACTAACAATAACCAAGAGATCACTTCCTAGTGCTTTCACTAGTTCAATTATTGGAATGTTTTTTTTTTTTTCCCCTGCTTTAATGACACCTACCTCTAGACAATGCAGCCTATTTTCCTTAATCATGTGATTGCAGTTCTGTTCATATTGACTGTCTAGGGTTTTTTTTTTCTTTCGGTTTGTCTTAACCACATGGGATGTTTGCAGAAAAATACCAATTTGACGTCTTGGAATTAATGTGAAGAATAAGCAGCCAAAGCAGCTGAAGTTGTGCCTAATTTGACATTTTCTCCAACTACCATAGTAACTGTGATGTCTAGAAAACCACATGTAGAACTGTCATTTAATTTAAAAATAGATAGTGGAAGCCAAACTCACCTGACTATTATTGCTGAGTATTGTAATAAGATATGATGCTTTTCAACTGTAGGTCACTGGAGTGCAGTCACTCTGAATTCAGTCTTAAATTGGCAGATACAAGTTTGTAGCATGTGACATCCATTCCAGTAGTTCATGGAAACCACGTTGATGGTACCAATCCAGTACCTCCATAAATAAGTATCTCCACTGTAATTACATTTTCATGGGTCTCCAGATTTGAACTTTCCTGAAAAATATGCTACTTGATTCCACCAAGAAGCAGAACCTTGGAGGGTGTTGTACATTAGGATGATATAGGAGAGCTTGAACTAGGGCTGCTTTGATTTCCTCCCCAGTCCCACCCGCAAAGTTATCGTGTATAGGTTTTATAGCTTTATGAAAAGTGCTTGACATGCACACAAAACAGTTTTAAAATGTTTCCACTTTCATAGAAATATACACAGTAGTAACAGTGAAAAAAGCAATTGATGTAACTCAAGAATTGAATTTGGGGATATTCCCAGCAAATTAAAAGTCTGATCAAATTTCTGATGCAAGTACAGTAAAAGCCGCGTTAACCGGCACTTTATTAACCGACATGCTCTGTTAAGTGGCATGATGGTTGACGCCGGTTGACGTGGCAAAAGGGAAGCTGAAAGTGGGACTTCCGGTTTTGTCGAATCCCACAGTCCGGGGGAAAGCAGCCTGTGTGGGGTAAAGCACCCTATGCGGAGTTGAGGCCCCCCCCCCCCCCCCCCCCCCCTTTTCCCCTGGCACACTGACATGAGGGGAGGGGTGGCATGGTTAATCTGAGATGTGGATGTGACGGGAGGTGTGTCTTTGCCCAACCAGGCAAAGATGCCTCTTGGATAACAGGCACATTTGGTTATTTGGCACCCAGATACTTACTAGGCATAATGTCCTTTTACGTACAACAACAACAACTAATCTTTAGTTTCCCACCCTTATAATATATTCAGTTTATTTTGGAAAATATATTTAACTTCCTTCCTAGGTTGCTTTAAAGATGGTGTTCCAGCTGTAAATGAAAATTATGATTACAGGAAAGTGTAACTGGTCACCATTGTTAATAAATTACTGAATATGCAAATGGTATAGACTTATCTTTAAAAACATTCATTTAAATAAATTTCCTTACTTGGCAAAATGAGAATGCAGGATTTAGTTTTTCTCTGTAAGAGCTGATAGACATCTAAAATAGTATAAAGAACACAGTTCCATATCCAGCTTTAGACATTTACTGTCACCTGCTTTTGGAAGAAAAATACATTTCTGAATTTAGTTGGGAGGAAATAAATCATGCCAATGGCATTGCATCAGACTTATATTTCAGTAAATATTGAATTCACCTTCTGTGTTAATAGCTTTGCTTTTGGAGATATAAATTAAAATCTTAACATTTATGATGAGTTGGGTGGGGAGCTTTTAGTATCTTTTGTCAAAAAAAGGCACATGTATAATTGGATCTCTATTTTAGTAATTTGTGTAATATTTAAACTTCTGTCTCAATCAGTGTAGTAACAGGAGTAATTTGTTAGACTTGTGCCTCCTAGTGGCCTGAAAAATCACAGAAAAGAGCATTGTCAAAACTTTTAGGAGCTCCTGCACCCTTTGAGAGCCATATGAGCTAATTCAGTGCTTGATGAACACAAGTCCTTTGGAATAAAACCTGGCTCTGCAGCATGTTTTGCCCCACTATATATTGGGATGGCCACATAGTGGCTTGCAAGTCGCATGCGGCTTCTAGGCAGTTTAAAAGTGGCTCCAGAAGAAAGTCATTCCTAGTTATTATTTGCAGTGGGCACTGTGCATAGATCATTGATTCTGAGGCACTTATATCGCAAACGTTTGTTGTCAAGATTTTGGTTTGCTGCTAGACAGGTTAGAAAATTTGGCCGCTCATTATGCAAGTATGCAGGATAATGAATTTGCTAAATAACACTATCATTCTATATAAGGGATTCCTTTTTTTCAGTCTTTTTCCCACCCTCCTTTTATTAAAAAAAAAATCATAAATTAAACTAATTAGGGTTTCAGTACTGGTTTAATAGTTATTTCCTCATTCTATATGCAACTTAAAAAAGCGTGAGATGAATGAGTTCATGTTCCATTCATTGGACAGAAAACTGTTTACAGCCTGCGTCACAGGGACATGCACACTGTGTATACCTGCATTCTGAAAGAGGCAAAAGTCCTGCAGAAGGTTTCTCATGCAGTCCATTCACAATCATATGCTTTCTTAAGTTGAAGAGCAGTTACCAGTCAGGTTATATGTCTTGTTCTTGCCATTATTTCTGGACTCTTTTGGGACTGATTTACATAACTTTATGGATATTAATTTTTATACCATATCTAGATTTGTTATATGACATCTGTTTTTGCTTGTTTTTGTTCTTTAACTGAAGAAAACTACTTTATGAAACATACATTTACTTGTATTACAGGATGACATCACCTCGTTTCATAGAATTTGTCTGCAAACATGATGATGTTCTGAAGTGTTTTGTTAACCGGTAGGCCTGCAGATGTTAAATGTTTTTATTTCAAACGTTACTCTGAAAACCATATTTAATGGTCATTCAGTGATATGTGGCTGGGTGCCATCTTGGCAGGTACTCGCACTTTGTTTCAGTTTCCCCATGCCAGTGGTCCCACTGAGCCCTGTCGAACTACTCCTGCTCCTAAGCAATGTATGTTTGAATGTAAGCAGGTACAGGACTGAGGCTTACATGAGGCTGTTCTCTTTATGTAAACAAGTATGGTTTATGTTTCAGATCTCCAAATATGTTAAGATGGAAATCAGGCTTTTGGTCTGTGAGCAGGTCTTTTTCCTTACTCTTCCAAACAGAGGCTAGAGGTCAAAATTTACCCCCTTTCTGAAGTTTGTTTTTCTCACAAAAGGAACTTTAAAAGAAATGCAAAATCTAGCTTAAGCATTATGCCAGCATTTGGCTCTTCCCACGGAATCCTCCAAGGACTACTCAGCTCACAACCTTACATATTCTTTAGAGAACCCCTCTTGCTTCTCTAAAATAAAAGATGAGGTAAAATTCACTATTTGGGGCAGAGTGTCAAGAAAACACACTTTACGCTATGGTGGTGTTTTTGAGGTTTTTTGAAAATGTTCTGTACTCACTGTGCCAGTTTTTAAAATGTATTTTAGGTATGTTCAGTTCTGTCACTAGAATATTTCATTAGTTGTTTATATTTTTTTACCAATGAAATTCTAATTTTAAAACACTTTTTTTTCTTTCAGAAATCCTAAAATCATTTTTGACCACTTCCATTTTCTTCTTGAGTGTCCTGAACTGATGTCCAGATTTATGCACATTATAAAAGGACAGGTAAATGTTAAGCACAGCTTAGTTAAACCTTTAATGAAACATTCATTTTCTTTTGCTCTGTATCAGTAGAATAAAGTTTAGTTATCTGTAAGAATTGTATTAGAGCAGTGGTGTTCATACTCTGTTCTGGGAAACCCTGGGGTTCTGCAATAGGTCATTCAGGGATTTTGCAAAGAGATTTGGGGTAATGGAGCAGGCCTGAAGGCAGTGCATCCCCAGTGCCAGGCTGCATTTCCTGGCTCCATGGATGTGGGTAAGGGTTCTGCAGCAGCAGAAGTGATATAAAAAGGTTCTGTGGCTTTAGGAAGTTTGAAAACCTCTGCATTGGAGCTTTAAAGAAATACACTGTGATATTATTTGATAAAGTGAAGTTTTAGAATTCTGTTTCTTTCCTTTTTAAAGCTAAGGCATTTCTATATGATGCAAGGCAGCTTCCTGCAGGTGCACGTCCCAAGCTAGCTCTCCTTCCAGAACCAGTAGCAGTACAGCCATGTTTTGCTTCTCGGGTATCAGTTGACAGTATCACACTAACATAGTTATATTACTTTTGCTTCCAATGCACAGAACTAGTTTGGGAGATCTCTGTACAGCTCTGCCTTCGACCTTATACATATACCTTATTGATTTGTATTTTAGGAGAATTGTGGCCAAATATCTGTGGTACAGAGCTGTGCAATACTTTGCATTCGTCTTTGAATTATAATTCTCTTGCAGCTTGCCTTATTCATACTTTCAGGAATCTTGCATGTTCTCTGTATTTGTTTCCTGCTAACTGTCAAATGCCATTTGAAGGTAAAATTCTCTGAGGGTTTGGCTAAAGAGGGAAGTAAACACTTGATCTTAAGCCACAAAAGGCTGAGAAGCGATTAAGGTAGGATCTAATTAAGATAGGATTCCAATTTAAAGCTGAATAACTATCCGGTAATAACTTCCCATGTTGACATAATGCCCATGCGTAAATGAGCATCTACTGCAAAATGGTCATTATTATCCAAGGACTGCTGGTGGGCAACAGGTGGCTTATGGAGAGAATTTTGTTCTTCAGCAAATAGAAACAAATTTGAACAAGGGACACCTTTATTAGGAAGCCTTTCACTTATCACCAGTAGTAGTCATAGCTTTGCTTCTTCCTCATTGGAAATACCTCCTACATTTAAAAAAACAAAATTAATTGTTCGTCTTTTGAGACAAGTTTCTTTGTAAAGATTTTCTGAAATCTGACCATTTTAGGCTGAACATAAGGAAAAATTCCTTTACTGTCTGAGCCCCCAGGGACTAGAATAGACTCCCTCCAGAAGTGGTGCAGGCAACTACTCTGGACTCATTCAGGAAACATTTGGATGCTTATCTTGCTGGGATTCTTGGACCCTAGCTGACTTCCTGCCCCTGGGACAGAGGGCTGGACTTGATGATCTTCAAGGTCCCTTCCAGCCCTAATGTCTATGAATCTATGAAATCTGAAGAAGCAGTGGATGGTGTCCCTGAGACCAGCTAATTTGTAGTCTTGTTGAAAAAATTCATATATGGAGGGTTTATAGGTATAGAGGACTCCCCCTGTCCTCTACTGTCCACAGTATTAGGCAGTTTGTATGTAGACTTGAAGAGAATGTTTAACCCTTTTTTCTAGATATGCAAGTAATTTTTCAGGATGGGATAAATTTCTGAGGATTTTTTCATTCATTGGTTGATTTCCAATCCATTCCAGATTTTATTTAGCAAAGCTCCATATTTTGTCCTATGTATGAAGTAAAGGTGTATTGTATTCAGCCTGATGGATGATCAGTAAAGGAAAAGTGTGTCAGGTCTTGCTCTCAGCAAAATCTTCTAAAATACTGAGATTATATTAAATTAAATATTCATAGTCAAAAAGAGGAAACCATCTGATCAGTTCAACTAGTGCCTGCTGAAAAAGGGTTGTGTTTTGGTATAAATTTCTAGGGAATTCTAATCTTTTTGTAGGTCTTATTTGTTATTGAATTAGAGCTCTCAAAAGTACTTTAAAGTGCAGTAAATTATATGTTTTGTTGTTGCTATCATTTTGACGATGCTGTGGTCAGATAATTTTTATCCAGGGCCTTGCATTTTAAAAATTGTTTTGGTTTCAGCATTTTACAGGAAAAACCTTCCACTTCTAGTGTTAAAACATGCTTATGATAGTGAACAAAGCATCAGCTGACTAAGGATTTAAAACATCAAATCTGAATTTCAAAGCCAGTGATTCTCATGATAGTCTGTGATGTAAATGGAGCTTTCAGTGGGAGATTTGGGTGTTGGGACGAAGGGTGAGTTCTTGAGACATTCCTTTATTGGATGGCTGCCTGAAGGAGACATTTAAAAAAAATCAGTGGGCTAATGCTCTTTCATTAAACATCTTAAATCTTGAAAGTTCTAGATTAAATTCCTCTGTGCACTACAGAGAGGTAGTTAGCTATGTTAGTGTGAAGTCAGGCAGAAGGCCGGGCAGGGTGACACCTGAAAGACTAATTGGTTTAGGGAAGCATAAACTTTTGTAGGCGATAGCCTACTTTTTCAGATGCCTTGAATTGGCTTGTTTAACTGTATTTATAACCAAATAGTGGCATGCTTGGCTGTAAACTTGTTTTATCTACATAACTTGTGCTTCATATTCAGCTGCCATGTTTGCAGTAATCAGCAGCGTGTCACCGTACCAGTTATTTACTCTGTGTCTCAGTTTCTTCCTGTAACCTGTTCTGTGCTCCTTTTTTCCCTTCTGGAGACTGGATGCCAGGAACTGGATCCCAGTAACCTCTTTCAGTAATCTCTGCATAACTAGTTTAACTAACGTCCCAGCATCTTAGAATTTATGCCATGTAGTGCTCCTGTGACATTTTTACCTTTTTGGTGCTCTTGTATTTGATGTATTTGTTGAGATGATGTATGTTAGTGGTTTTCAACCTTTTTTCATTTGTGGACCTCTAAAAAATTTGGAATGGAGGTGCAGACCCCTTTGAATTGTAAGTGTGGATATTCTTATACTTTTGATTGATCGTAGTCCTTTCTTGCAGACCATAGGTTAAAAACCACTGATGTAGGAGAATAGCCTATGTTTCCTAGGATGCACTGATGCATATGCATAAATATTTTTCAGCTCTGGTCATGAGGCAGAAAGGATATAGAAAAGGCAAACCTGTATGCATGTGTCATGACCTAGTTACAGAAACATATCTGTGCTTTTAGTTTGAACAAGGTCAGTTTTGGATCAAAAATCAAACATATTAAATTGTTCACACTTGAAAGTAGAATAAAATAAGGCTTTTTTGTTAGCAGTTTTCGTTTACAAATATCTTTTTAATTGCTTATTCAGTGAGGTCCTCTAATTGTCAGATACTATTGGTTATGAAATTGGGGATGAAAAATGACAGAAGGATGTTTGTGTGTAATATAAGTGAGGATGTGAAGGGTTGCTTCAAAGAAAACTTTATTCATAAGAATCCATTATTGTAAGCTTTGTTGAACTTGAAAGTGAACTAATTGGTTGCAAATGTATTCAATTACAGATATAACATTCAAAGTGTCTGGACATAAGCTTTAAATTGTCAAGGGTCTTCTTTTCCAAATGCAAAAATGAGCTATAGAAAATGTGCTTTGAGTATTTTTTATTAGTAAGATATGTGCTTGGTTTTACTCTTACTCCCTTTGTGAAATCTTGTTAAAATGCATGCATATTGTCTACTAATTGCTTATTATTAGAGTCCCTCATCGAAGCTTAATATTTAAAGTGCATTTAACTTAATGGTTCATTATCAGCCTCAAGAATGACTAATACATTGCACATGTCATCTCTTTTGCAGCCATTTAAAGATCGCTGTGAATGGTTCTATGAACACTTGCATTTGGGACAGCCGGATTCAGACATGGTACACAGGCCAGTCAATGAAAATGACATCCTCTTGGTTCACAGAGGTATTGCATGACCAGGAGAAAATGCACCTACAAATGTATACAATTTTTGTTGTTATGAGATTAAGACTACAAAATTAATTAATGTTTCATATTTAGATTCTATTTTTAGGAGTAGCTGTGAAGTTGTCTCTAAAGCAAATTGTGCAAAGTTAAAGCAGGGGATTGCTGTACGTTTCCATGGAGAAGAAGGCATGGTGGGTAAAATATTGCAAACTGCCTTAGAAAATGCTTTAAGATATACACATAAATAATATTGTTACAGTAATGGATCTATTATTAAATTTAACTTGCAATTTAATAGTACACTTAAAAACTCAATTGTTAAGCTATTTATATGATTGATTGTTCTGCTTACCATACTATATGTTATCCATTTGACATGCAGGGTCAAGGTGTGGTACGCGAATGGTTTGATATCTTATCCAGTGAGATAGTTAACCCAGATTATGCATTATTTACCCAGTCGGCAGACGGTACGTTTGTATTTCGTATTATTCCAAACTTAAAAAAAGGGTTAGCAAATATTCATAATCCAAGTAGAAGTAGTCTTATATTGTAAGTAGACTCTGCAGCAATGATTCTTAATCATTGTGCCATAAAATCCTTTCAAGGGTGTTGTGGAGTGACCCACAATGTTAGTACTATTAGGTGTGCAAACAGTGTTCACAAAATAAAGCCAGAGACTTCAAATACAAGTCCATCATGTTAAAAACATGCTCACCTGTTGTATTCTTTCTGAATTCTTTGCAACAGAAAAATCACTCTATTTTTCCAGTCAAAAAAAGAATGAAAACTAAGTGTTGGCATTTTCTCAGGGGTGCTTTGAGTGTTAAAAGGTTGAGAACAACTACTCTAAAGTAAAACCAGCTGGTATTCGCCATGGAACAGCTCTTCTGTAAGTGGCTTCTGGTTGCTAGGGTGTGTTTATATTTTATGTCCTAGAAACTGCTAAAGAAACCTTCTAGATGCAAAGCTTTCTACCTCCCTATACCTTTCTATTTTAACCCCCCTTTCTTAGGGGTCTGCAGATAACTCTATCAACAGGAGCAGTCTGGAGTTACTTTTTGAGAATTAAAAGAAAAAGTTCTGGGTGTGTGGAGGATTCTGTAGACTGTTTAAAAAGACCGAAACTGAAATGTCTCTACTACAGCCACCTATGGGGTAGAAGTGGGTAGGCCCTAATTAAACAAACACTTTTGTATGGTCATAGTTCAAGTCTGTGAGTAGCCAGTTAAAGTTTTGGGACCCCTTATGTATATACCCAAATACTGCAAGACTAGGACCTATATTACCATTAACACAGAACCTAGTAAAACCTGGATACTTCGCAAGGTTATGTTGTGTACCTCCTTGAAAAGATAAGGATTTGTGAACTAGCTGGAGGTGAAGATGCAGAGCCACAGCTAACAGCTCTGTGGGGCCACTGATGTGTTTCAACTTTTTGCTGACCTTTTATTTCAAAGAACACTGCTGCTGAGTTTCAGCTATGTGGAGATAGGGCACCCATTGAAATAATAACTGGAGAAAACAGTTGCATGGTTAGCTTTTAATTTGGCCATTCACTGCAAATTAAATTGGTTGTGAACCATCCAGACATGAATGATCCCGGTTCTAACCATATTAGCATCATACTGAAGGTATAAGTTAGTGGTCTCTGGGGAGGGTCTTAGCATACCATTTTAACTTGATTCTTTGTTAAGCCTCTTTGAAATGTTGTTCAGAAGGAAAAAATTACAACCTAAGTTAAAAGAAAAAGGAAACTTGTCAAATTTTGCACGTGCTTTGGTGTTTCAGAATCTGCAGCTAGCTAATTGCTTTTTCAAAGTAGAAGAATAGGAGAAAATAGCTTTGAAGTGGACCACAGATAAAAGTATAACTATGTTGAAGAAAATTGTTTGGTTCTTGTTATAGTACTCTGAACAGTGAACATTATATAAATTCACTCAGCCTGTAACATACAGTTGAAAGCTTGAAGCTACATAATTCACCTTAATTATATAGAGAAGCATTTCCTTCTGTTCTTTTGTAATGTCAGATCTTGCCCATTACAAGTTGCGTCTTAGGTTTTGATGATGTGCACTTATGTGCACCACCCAGGAAGGCCCTTAACTTGTATTTTAAAACCATTACACTTCTCACTTCTTTCTTTTAAGAAGGAAATTCCAAGGCTAAACACAGGCATTGGATTTCTCCCAAGATGAAGTCTTTTATCCAGGGATCCTACAGATGGCCAAACCTTTTGTCCCATGTTAAGTTCTTGAAGTAACTGAATTAAAATTTTGCCCTAGGACAGTCGGGATTAATTTGACTCATTGCCATTCAAGCCTGTGTCTGTAAAAGACTCTATCCTGCATCTCACTTAATGCGAGTCAAGATTAAATACAATGTCTCTTTGCTCAGTTGATAATAGTAAAGGAGGTAACTACAGGTTGGTGGCCCTGAACTGAAAGCACTTGTCTGCTAGTGGAGCTATTCAGGGCTAGCTGTTCCTGAATAATTCCCTTTACGGATGCTTATTTCAGAACAGGAGCACCTTTTTTTCTGGTTTAACTTAATCCACTTCATAAATTTCAATCCTTCTCTTCCAGATCAAGTTTGTCTATGCACAGAGTTATTCTGAAATAGCCATTCTTGAAATTCACTCAATGTTAATCCAAAATGACTTGAAAATATAAGTAAGGTCTATTTTTTTTAAATGATAAGAACACGTGTACAACCCTCCCCTCCCCCCCCTTGAAAAAAATCAGCTTTTCAAACTTTTAAAAATTGAGTTTTAACTTCTCTCATTCTCATATTGGCCAGACCAGGGGAGCCTACTAAATGGCTGCTACTCTTAGTTTTCTACAAGAAAATTGTGACTGTTCAGTGTATTTGAGAAGTACAAGTTAGAGTTAAAAACAAAAAAATAAACAGCAGTGGCAAAGTCCAGGCTAACAACAAAAATGTAATAAATCCTTTGTTTTACAGGAACAACTTTCCAGCCAAACAGTAACTCTTCTGTGAATCCTGATCACTTGAACTACTTTCGGTTTGCTGGACAGATCTTGGGTTTAGCTCTGAACCACAGGCAGTTGGTGAACATTTACTTCACAAGGTCTTTCTACAAGCATATTCTTGGTATAGTAATTAAATTCCTATTTTGGAGAGTTAGATAATTTAGTTTGTACCAGTAAGTGTAGCTGGGTGGTGCAGTTGCTTGTGTGCTAATCTTTCATCTTTGGTGACCTATACTTAGGTTTGGTAGAATTCGATTTTTATTTTTTAAATAATTTTGACTGATAATATTAATGTTTTATTTTTAAGCATTTATTTATCTTTTTTTTTTTTTAATTTTCAGGATTGCATTAAATTAAGGGCGTGGGAGGCTAAGTTTATTAATGACAATTGTAACTACTGTAGGACTGCTGCAAGCTGAGTAGCACAGTTGCCATCAGTCCCAGCTCCACTTGTCCATAGCTCCCTTGTCCGTTTTGTGATTAGGGATGTGAAAGGTTAAATGTTTAAACAATAAGTACATTTATATGGGTAACGCATTACTATTTAACATTTAGCACGGGGTGCAGTCCAGCGGGGAAGGGAAAACGGCATGGTGCCTCAGGAACAAGAAGGAGGCAGGGCAGGTAGGTGGGAAAGCAGGGACTAGTACCCATAGCTTATGAGGTTAAAGAGGAAAACAGGTGACCTAATGACTTGTCAATTAAGCAGTTAGGTACTCATTTGCAGGTACTCCCTTCTTCCTAGTGTGCTGGTGGCTGCAGTAGGCTGGGAAAATCCCTCACCTGCTGCTGCTGTTTGTGACTTTGCATGGGCTGTGTGGTCTGGTGGGGCTTGCCACCGCCTCTTTCCCCCCACCTCCATCAAAGCCCTGGGAACAGCTCCCAGCAGCAGCCATCCCAGCTGCTATATTATCATATTATCATTAACCATTTAATGGATATAATTAGAGGAGGTTAAATGAATAGTTTTTTAAATGATATTTACATCCCTATTTGTCACTTTTCCCTTGTTCCCAGGCCTTTGGGGTTTCTAGGAGTTGCAGAAACTACAGTCAGCACAGTTCTCTAGGACTGCTCCCCTGTTGTCACACACTCCACAAGCCATCATTTTTCTTGTATCCCCTTTCTATACATTTTGATTATTAACGGTGGAAAGTGTTTTGGTGGTCTGAGAGTAGGGTGAGCACTGATGCATCCCCAGAATACAGGACATCCCCTCAGCCAATTAGCAGCAAAGGGTGAGGCCACCACAAAAAGGCCACCTCCTTTTTTCCCCTCTGTATCTGGCTGGCTTGGACCCCTGCTTCTCTTGGCACAGCCAATAGAATTGTGAGGACAAATGATTGACACATTTCCACCAATGAACTGAAAAATAGGACTTTTTGCAGTCTGTTCCTCATTTAGAAATGGACAGGGGACAAGGGGCTTAAAAACCCCTGGTATAAAACAGGACCAATGGCTACCCTATCTGTGCGTGAGAGATGAAATTGATGTTTATCAATGTTAACTGATAAAAATTGAATCCTGCCAAGCCTACCTATATTCAAAAGTGTAAAAATACTCCTGAGGTTAAAATTACTTCTTAAATTATGAACATTGCTTCTAAAATTTGGTATAATTTCTTTAGAAGTCCGTTGGTTTAATCTTCCCTTAAAATAATTGGGTTATTCCTGCAAATTTTTTATGGTTGCCATACTTTCTCTTCACACCATATCTAGAAAATTAAGTCTTTCCTTGATGGCAGAAACTTCACCTCTGTTTCATGTGCAGAGATGCTATCCAGTAATCACGGAGTGGTCTGCTTGCCTTTGCTTGGGAACAGGGCCACCAAGAGCTGCTGGTATTTCCCCTTGGGAGGGGAAAGTGAAAATAAATTCTGTTCTTTGAAGACCTCTGTATACTTCTGCTTATGAAACATGATACCTCTGGGTGCAAAGCTGCAGAACTATCGTGAAAATTGGTGTCCACTGTAGGAAACTTATGTTAGTTCTTGCTTGAAGATAATCGTATTGTCCTATTCTACAAGGGACCTTATCTTCTTGCCTGTCACCTCCATTTCTTTGTTAGTCCTGTGGTAGTTTGCTTATGTGTTTTCAGGGCTATCCTATTCCTAAATTTAGGGAAAATATATAGGCTGCAGTTTCCCCTGCCCTGAGAGCCCTCATAACCTTACTTTGAGTCCTGTAAAGGCTTTGAGAGACGAGCTTTTTGCCCAGCAATTGTACTACAAAGACACTCCTATTGGGCCCCTGCTATGTCAGAGCATGATGCACTCAGTAACTCAGTATACAATTTGTTTCTTTTCTTTCATGATCTAGAAGTGGGGGGGAGAGTTTTGAGGTTCCAAGCTTATGCTGCCCAGGCTTATTAATAACATGGTGATTAGGGGTGTGCAAAGCTTCGGTCGCCGATTTGATTCGGAAAAGATTCGGCCCGATTCAGAGGCTGAATCACCGAATCCAAATCAAATTGGGAGACCAAATAAACCCTCTGAATTGATTCGGAAAAGATTTGGAAAAAGTTTTGGAGGTTCGGAAAGCAGTCTTTCAGGGGAACAGAAACTGAGAAGAGGGAGGGGAAGCAGGGGGGGAAAAACTGACATCTGTAGCTAGTCAGTGATCGTGATCTTTTCTTGAGTCCCCTTCCAATCACAGTGCTCTGGGGGAGGGATGTAGAAACAGCGCATACGCCTCTGTCTGCAGCCTTCTGTCCCTTTTGTGAGGTGTTTCTGCCTGAGCAAGATAGGGGCAAGCGGCTGGCCCAGAAACAGGTGGGTAGGCAGAGATCTAACTGGTATCGGGAAGCCCCCCCCTGTTACAGGCTACCATCCTTGCTGTTTTCATCCAAATCTGCCTTAAGACACACAAGTGACACAAGTTTTGCTTTCAGCAGTTTGAGGTGCAGTTTCCCAAAAACCAATGCACCTATCTACTTGAAACTTGACAGGCTTTGTGCCCTCAGAATGGGCTACCATCCCTGCTGTTTTCATTCAAATCTGCCAAAAAATGACAGTTTATAGGTATTTCAGTGATTCCCCGTTATAGTCTATGGCCAAATTACCGAATCTCTCAGAACCAGCGCTGAATCTTTTGAAGCCAATTTGGCTGAATTGATTAAAGACAGTGATCTGAATCTCCGAATCGAATCGCTGTCCTCCAAATTGGCCAAATCCAAATCAAATGCTTCCCTATTCGCACAAGCCTAGTGGTGATACCAAGATTCTCTTAAACAGGATCAGATGTATGCTACTGCTCTGACAACCACATTGCCTTTTTTCACGAGCTTGAAACCAGGATTTCTTTGGTCCCATGTTGTTAAATAAATTGGCGCTAGTGATTCTGAAGTGGCATTAAGTTACAAGTTATTCTCTGATGCCATATATGTTTCATTTGGCATGTCTACACGAGACGCTGATTGTTCAGTAGCCAAATAATACTGTGCAATAGTGTGTCACAGCATGGTACTGCGCAGTATTAGGCTACTGTGCAGTAGCGTCACTTAAAAGATGTTCGTTGATGCTACTGCGCAGTAACTCCTAACATGTACAAGTACTAAATAGATGTGGAGATGTGTCCAGTGATTCTCAAATAGTGCTCCTATTGCAGGAGTCCTGTTGTACCCTGCTGTCCGCCTGAGGTGCCTGTGTAGTCACCATCAGCATGGAGCTGATGCCAGAGTTGTGGAGCCCTGTGCAGCTGTTTGCACTCTGCCCGCTGCTTGCTGCAGCTGCCCAGAGCCTGGGCTGGCTACAAACAGCTGTGCCGGGCTCATCACCACTGTGCCGGGAGTGGGGGAGAGACCAGGGCTGCACTGCCTTGGGCCCCTCCCCCACTGCCTGCTTCGAGGCACGCCTGCTTGCGCTGGTGTGGAGCTGATCCCGGAGCCCAGCACAGTGGTTAAGCGCCCCCCGGCTGCTGCCAGCCAGGATCCCAGGCTGCTCCCAGCAGGCAGCTGGGATGCTGAAAGTCCTGCCGGGAGCAGCCCAGGCTCTGTCGCTGGCAGCAGCTCTCCGGAGCCGGGGCTGGCCACGGTGTGCCAAGCAAAATGGCCTCGCGTGCCACGCTGGGCATGCGTGCCAGGGGTTGCTGACCCCTGGGATAGACTTTCAAGATGTATTGGGAGATGTATGGACCATAGCTGCATCTTATCTAGAAAAAAAGTACCTTACAATATAGAAGTCTTTCTTCACAGCACAGTGTGGGTATAGCAGGAACCTATAGATAGGTTCCCATGGTGTTGAGATGCAAAGCAGCAGCTTGAGTTTAGGACATTATACTCTGTTTTGCAGTGTGCTCAAATGCCCAGCGTGAAGGAATGCACATTTTAGGTGTGTGAATGGACAGAAATGACTAAGAATAACAGAGAATAAGGTGCCTTTCCTGTTATAGAACACAAGGAGAAGAAAGTTGTTCCTAGAAATGGAAGAGGTCTTTATGGCTTTGGCTGGTTGAAAGGCAAAGAAGAGGTTGGAGGGCTTTTCTTACCCCCCCTTGTTCATAGTGGGGAAAACAGGGGCAGGTCTGGTTATCAGCAGTGTTTGCATAATATAAAAGCTACAAAGGGGATACTTGTTTGTAGAGATGGATGAAAATAAGCAGTTTTAAAATTGCTTTCTATGCTTGGCTGAGCATCTAGCAATTTTATGTGCCCTTCAGCCTCTTTACATTACGTTATGAAAGTTAATTTGGAAGTTGTTTAAAAGTTTCACAATCTAGTTTTTGTATTAGAAGTTAGTTAGCATAGGTGAAACAGATTGCTGCTGAAAGGATAGCAAGTCTCATAAGGAGCATGAGGAAAAAAGGCGAAACTTAAAAAGCCAAGGACATTAACATGTATTTCAAGTATAGACAAAATCTTTGTAATCACTTCATTGGTATTTTCTTCCAATTGCAAACTGCTTTTTAGTAGGCAGAGATGGTGTATATCACAGAAACAGTTGTACCTGTGAAGTGTTACAGAATGCTAATTCCTGCAGCATAGTTTTATTGTTTTAGGAGACTGAAGGAGCAGGGTGATTATTCTTTGCCCTCATGATGAACTCAAGGCTTGAATCAATGTAACAGAAAGGCACAGTTCTGGTGTCTTTGGTCCACCAGGAGACCAAATATTAGAAATGACTCTCTGTGGATTCTTTCCAAATGCTGAAGATGTAAATTACATTGTGTTGTGGAACAGGACTCTGGGGTTTTTTTCTTTTATCGCTGCATTATTTTAGGCTATCTCTAGAGGGCAGTCTTCTACCACGGAACAAGCAGGATAGAGCAAATAACTTTATATGTGGATTTTGGTTTTATTTTTTTCCAGGTATTCCGGTAAATTATCAGGATGTAGCGTCTATTGATCCAGAGTATGCCAAGAACTTGCAGTGGATTTTAGATAATGATATCAGTGATCTGGGTCTAGAGCTGACTTTCTCGGTTGAGACTGATGTGTTTGGAGCAATGGAAGAAGTGCCACTGAAACCAGGGGGAGCAAGTATTCTTGTTACTCAGGAAAACAAAGTGAGTGAGTTCTACCCAAAATTTATTGAAAAAAAAGTTAGGTTGAAATATAAGTAACTAGAAGCATCAATTATATACAGTACTTAAAGCAAACTATGGCCATAATTTCTAAAAGGTACCTGGCAAAATGATCCCCGGATTCAACCACTGCTGTGAGGAAAGTTCTATAAGGAGCTCATGGGTTCAGTGAATTTTTTAAAAAATCAAATGAAGATTTCTAAAAGTGACAGTATATATTTATGGCATATAATTAAGCTGTCCTGGAGAATACTAGCAGGAGAAAACAGCAATCATTGCCACAAATGCAGATAATACTGTGTAAGTGTTCCAAAATGCACCAATTTCACTAAATAATGAAATAATTAAGGTATATAGGTATATGATATTTACAAGTGCAAAGCACAAGAAACCTCATTAGAAATCAAGATCTATGTGAATGGCGGCCTTGCATTAGTACAGAAAAATATGGTATAAATTTATTTGCTAAGGGAAAGGAATAAGATTTTAAACAAATTGATTTAAAACAGGTAATTGTTGAAATCTTAAATTAACAACAGTCAAGACTGGAGTTTAACAGTATAACATTTTGGTCTAATGTAGTAGAAGATGCCAAAGTTATAACTGGGATTACAAAAAACCCAAACAAATGTGCGTACTAGACTTTGGTTAAAAGTCTAAATAATAGACGTTGTTTTAGAACTATGTTAATATGTTGAATATTAACATAGTATAACCGTGGTGTATACAATAGTAATTCAGCTTCTTGCTGGTGAAATACTAGGCTGTTATACTGGCAGATAGCCACTTGGTGTCATCATTTATTTTAAAATTTTCTTAGACAGCCTTGAAGACTTTGACTGTGAGTCTTCATATGCCTAATCCTCATTTTTATTAAGGCAGAAATGTCATTCAAATAACTACCATATATAATATAACCTTGATTCCCCTGCCATCTTGTACTGTTCATATTTGTTCTTTTCAGTTAATTTGTAGTGTTATAAGGGACTATGGAGTGCAGGGCAATAGGGAATCAATTCAATGTCAGTTTTTACATTGGAGGGGAGCCACAATACTATTGCTTGTTTCCAGTCTCTCAGTTTTTCTTGTTTTGAAATATATGTATGTTGCAATATTTTTTTTATTTCAGTGTTGCCATTAAAAAACTTACTGCTGAGAGTCTATGGTGTTTTTTCAGTTTTCATGAAGTTAGAAATTTGCTAATATAATGTCAACTTTAATATTATTTAAATGTTTATGTATATGTGTGTTCTTGGGTATATTACTAAGGAATTCAAGCTAAATCCTTCCCAGTTTGAACTCTTAAAGCAGATCTTATTAGTGACACAGGGTTACTAGGACACCTCCAAAGGTCAAAATTCTTGTTGTTAGAAGTGTTGATGTACACTTCTGAATCATGTTTCCACACTAGCTCACCAACATGCTTCAGTTCTAATATGACGGGACGACATCTAGAGTTTTATATAGACTCTATTTCCATTTGCTCCTTAGCATTTTGGGGGTTATGTTCAAGGCTAGAGACAGTTAAGTGATTGAGAAGTAAAGGTATATATCATGATGTGAGTTTTTGAAGATATCTGTGAACTATTAAACAAAAGTTAAGTTAAGAAAATATTTAAAGCGTATACTTTAATAGTGCCAGTAGATTTAAAAATACCTTTTAAGAAAGGACTTTAAATATGTGACTTTATTTTTTGCAGTGCAGTCTCTGCCCCAGTAGTTATAGAGAAACTTTTTAATTGAAGAACAAACCACCATCTAATAAAATTCATTGTATCTACTACATTTGTGGTAGGAGAAATTTTATCTTCTAAAGTTTCCATCTTGTTGGGTGTACATATAAAAAGACAACGTGCACAACCAGTCCAACCAACTCAAAAGTCATGGAGAACAGTGGGAAAAATCACATGCTAATTCAGTCTAGCAGAAAAGCATTGCCAATTGGAAATGCCACCTAAGTATTTAAAACAAAGTTGACTTGGGAGCTAAAAGCAGAAAAGCTGTCTAGATTGTGTTGCATATGTAAATATAATTTATAAACTCTTGAAGAATACCTAAGTGACTCTACTCCTGGTTTAAATACTTTTTTTTCTAAACAGGCAAAGCAGTAAATGTTCCACAAAAGATTTATAATGACACCTGCTCATAAACTAGTGGAAGAAAAATGTCCCCTTATACTCAAATAGTATAGTAGGTGAATAGTTTGTGTGACAAGATGCAAATAGGGCCTTTGCCCACATGGCTTGAATTGTAGTGTCGGATCCACAGTGTGATAGTGAAATGGGCTATTGTTATAATTAAGCGGTTGAAACAGGAAAACATCTTTCATGCATTACAACTTTGCCGTTAGCCTCAGCATTTTTTTTCTTGTTATGTTTTCTGAATAGCTGTTACTTCTCATAACCTTAATTCAAAAACTATGGAAAGAACAAACTTTGACCATGAGCTATCATTAACATAGTCCAGGAGCTCAGCTCTTCAGTGAAGTTTATCTCTGTCCCCCAGGAAATTTTCCCTTTAAATTTTTTTTTTCTATTAAATATTTAGTGTGACTGCCATGCTATTTGACTCTAAACTTTATTTTTTCAAACAGCTTAAAATACAGCTGTCTTCCAAATGTAAACGTCATAACAAACATAGATTCTTGTCTTGCAACATGTGCGGTGTGAAATCAGGGAAGTCATATTTTGATTTAGCAAGGTCATTTTTTTATTTGATTTTACATCAAAGCAAAAAGGTTTAATTTAGCCATATGTAAAGTTACCTATATGTCTAAGCAAACCTTTCCTTATAAAAGGTGTTGTTCATTCTCTTGTGCAATGTGGATGTAAATCTCTGTTTGTGGTAAGGCTGTTTGTTTTGCATGATGTACTTCAGGCTTCTGAGAGAGAGAGCATATGAATGTAGAGAGAGGTAAACTTCATTTCTAATTTTCCCCATCAAAGCCATCATATCTGAATATATTGTGCTTCCCCTATTGTGTTCCTGTCACCAGTCGAGGTACCTCTATAATATAGAGAGATAGGTACCTATATTAGTCTGAAGTTAGGCAGAAGGCAGGGCAGGGTGACGCTTTATAAACTAAGGCTAGGTACAGATATTCAAAAAGCCATAGGCGGAATCAATCTAAGTTACGTGATTTTTCTGTAAGCAGTGTAGCTTAGCTCACTAGTGAACAGCAAACACATTTGCTCATTGATGATGGGGGCAAATCTTAGACCAGGTTCTGCCATTCTTGAAACCAGTCTGTGTGCTGTTCTGTTCTGTTCTGTTATGGTACAGACTAGGGCTGTGCGAAATGGGTATGTTTCATTTTGGTTTTGGATTTGGTCATTTCGGAGGGATAGTGATTCGTTTTGGTGTTTCAGATCGCTGTTTTGGTTCTGTTCGGCTGAATCTGTTTTGGCGCTGTTTCGGAGTTTCGGATCAGCTGGGGAGAGGCAGGCACAGCCGAGTGACTGCAGGTTCTCCCGTGGCTCCTCTGGCTGTGCCTGCCTCTCTGGGAGCAGAGGGAGCTGTGAGAGAAGCCCCCATGGCTGCCCGGCTCCAGACTCCCAGCACTTTTTTTTTATGGCCTGCACTCACTGGCTGTAGCAGCGGCAATCAGGGCCTCTGACGGCTCGTGGCAGAGCCCCTCTGTGCAGCGGGGGGCAGCAGGTATTGCCCCCCTGCCTGGCAACTGCGCAGCAGCTGCCCCATGGCATGGGTGTAGTGTGGATTGGCAGGGCGCTGTGGGGGGGGGCGGGGAAGGGGAGGAAAAAACAGAGTCATTTCTTATACTGACACATACTGTGTACATTCTTATGTACAGGTCTCTTATTCTCTGTTAAGGTCTCGTTATTGTCTGTTATTCCAGACTGTTAATGAAAGGTTTTTCGTTTTGCCACGTAGCAAGATTTTTACTTTTTTTTTCTTAGAGTAGAGGTCTCCATGCCAGTTGCTACAGTTACACTATTAAATACTTTTACTGTTTACCAATTTTGTATTAGAATTTGGGTCTCTAGAGTTTGAAGGCTTATAACACTAAACTCACTGTAATGATAGTTACAAGCACCTTCTATTCTTATAATAGACTAGATTTAAATAAGTTTAAGCAGCTTACAACCTTCATAAAGGGGAAGTTAGATAATTGTTGTCTAGTCAACATTTTCTGTTTGCATTTTTTTCATAGGACAGTTCAACTCTTTAGCCCTTACAAGCCATATTTCCTACTGGCTGAAGGTACACAACAGGTCTTTTTTCGAGACTTCGGAAAACAAGAGGCTTCTCGGCCCCTTGAAGGCTGAGATCAAGTGTTGATCTAAAGATCAAAGAGAAAAATAGTTCTGTTAGAAATATTAGGTTAAAGATAGTGTCTTTTAAAATCATTGCCTCCTCCCAAAACACAGACATCTTAGCTGAAGATGTTTCATAAACATAACCTTTTTTTTGCTGTTATAAGCAGTAGTAACACACAAAAATATTGTTTTCTGGTTTCAATGAAAATGTCTCTTCCTGTGATTTTTTTTTTCCTTCAAATTAGTGGAATCTTAAAAAAAAACAAACAAACAAACAAACCACAAAACAAAAAACCCACAAAACTTTAAACATAACTACATAGCATGCGATTATGGAGAAGTAGTGGCACAAAGCTAATTGATTTGCCCCCAACCAGTGATTAGATAGGACACTGGGTATTGTATTAAAAAATTAGGTCTAATATGAATCAAAACCCATTGTCTTGAAGCGAAACAGTGACTGAGTTAATCTGTTCAGTATGTTAGCATGAAAGCACAACCTATCATTTCATAATTAGAAATCATGCATCATTGGGAGTCTAACATGATTTAATATCCTTAGCTTTAAAGTAGTCTTGGCATAAGATCCAATTCCTAAGTTCGAAGGCTGTCAGCCTTGAGTAAAGAGAATGCATTAGAATTTTGTAGTGTGCATAATGGTGAGTTGGAGCACATTGGCACGTATGAGGCCAGTTTTATCTTGGCAACTTAATGCCAGGAGAGATGCTTTTCTGTCTCAGTTGGTAGCCTTTTTCATTTCTGATTGGTCATGGGAATAAGATTTTGAATGATAGAAAAGAATGAGGTAAGACCTTTCTTCATTCACTACGTATCTTCTAAAGTGGACAAAGAACCATCCACTTAAACATTTCAAAGTATGTGGTACTGCATTTTAGTGATGTTTAATCAAATATTGTAGTTCTTTTATTCTTTAAAAAAAAAAAGTTTTTCCTCCCATTTTTAAAAAGCAAGAAAAGGAAATTCCATACAGCGTTTCTTTAGGAATGTTGAAGTTGTGTTTTTACTGACAGGTAACGGGGGAAAAAAATGAAGGTTGCATCCTCAGTCTTAATCATAACCCATGTTCTGACTGCCCTTGTTTGCTACTCCCCAAAACAGCCTCCAGAATATATCTTTGTTAAACAAGTGAGGACAAAAAGGAAAATGGTTGTTGAGTGCCCTGTGTGCTGGAGCAGGGCATAGACTTACTTAGGTGAGGAAAGAATGCAGTGAAAGCCTTAGTGAGAACTTACCTGGAATTATAATAATAATGCACATAATCCTGAATTCATGTATTTATACTATATAGTGTCTCATGTTGTAATCTCATAAACTTCTTTCATTTCAGGCAGAGTATGTCCAACTGGTTACTGAACTTCGAATGACAAGAGCTATTCAACCTCAGATAAATGCTTTTTTACAAGGTTTTCATATGTTCATACCACCTTCTCTTATACAACTTTTTGATGAATACGAACTGGTGAGTAGCAGCATGCCTGCATTATTTCTAACTGACAGCACTCAGCAGTTGTTGTGTTGGCTACAAATGTCCAACTCGGGATCCTTAAAATTCTAGTTTATTAGGCAGATTGAAACACTGCAATCATAAACCTTGGGGCTGGTGTACACACACACACACACACACGTGTACACACACACGTGTACACACACACACGTGTACACACACACACTAGCAGGCTACAGAGTCAGGTATACCTATCCTACAAGCGCTGGAGTCTGTCGCTGAGGCTTCTTTCAGCGTGGTGTTATCTTCCAGAAGGGGGTCGCCGGCTGGTCCTTCTGGCTGGACAGGTCTGGTTGAGTTGGAGATCAAGAGGGCACCCCTGAGGGTCACTTTTCACTGCCTTTTATCTGTCCTTGGCAGACTTTGGTGACTCCCCAGTTTTCAGGTTTGCCCAATCCAGGGGTCGTTGACCCTCATGGGACTTCCCCCCCTCGGTGGCTACTGGATGACATCTGTCAGCCCCAGGGGTCGTCCACGTGTACGTGCAGGTTTGGGAGTCCGTTGATGAATTTTGAATAGGGCTCTGGGAGCAGTTGATCTGGAGATACTCAGCCCAAAAGTTGGTCCCTGGCGTTGATTAACTCAGGCCAGGGCTTCTAGCCCTTGATCAGTGACGTTTAGAGATTTCCCGGTTGTTACATTGTCTTCTATTGAGTTCTTCCGTGGTTGATCTGCAGCTTCCCAGGTGTTAATTGCTGTGTGCTACCTTGTTACACATTCAATCACTGATTCACTCGCTCTTTCAGGGGCCAGCCTGATACAGAGAAGGACAGTTTGATTCCTGCCCTTGTTAACATTGTTACAATGTATAACTTACTAAAACACATTTAGTTGAAAGTTGAGAGGTGAGGAGTATAAAATATAAGCTACAAATGCCATGGCGCACAAATAGATAAAAATACCAAAATACAAGGGGAGATACAAAATGCACACATACAGATTTTAAAACACAATTCCTTATCTTAAAGTGAAAGAGAGAGGAAGGAAGAAAAGGTAGAAAAAGAGAAACATATCCAAAGAGAGGAGAGCAAATGCAGGCAAGAGGAAAAGGGGCTTTCTGCTACAGTTGTAGATCACTAATGTAAGATATAGAAGTAAAGGCTCAGTTCTGTGGAAGATAAACATCTGGTATCCATGACTTCGGTTTTATTTTTTTAGATCTAGCCCCAGATGTAGTACATCTTGTGTTAAATTCAGGTGTGCGCGCTCAGGCACATAGGTCTATCTATAAACTGAATAGAGAAATGTCACTTTGTGGATAACTAGAATCATGGGTGGATCCAAGGAAAGGTGTGTGGGAGGGATGTGGGTACCCTCCATTCCCTTGGTAGCGCAATAATGTCCTCGCTGAATGCTAATACTGCACACCACCCCTGCCCTTGGCCATGGCACAACTCGGCAACAGCGGAAAAGGTGGCAGTGAAATCCCCTTGGATTTCAGAGCTGCGTCAATACAGGTTCTGGTAGCATTCATGCTGATGAGTTGGTAAGTTCATAGAGCTCACTGGATGTGTGGTGTTCAGCTTCTCAGCTGAAGGGGGAAGCAGCTGAAGCAGTTGCACTGTCCACCCAACCCTAGATTCATCCTTGGTGCAGCTTGTAAGGGAAAGGAGTACCAATTTTCTCTTCTTCTGCTTCCCTCTTCCACTTTCAATATGATATTAACACAATCCTACTCCCTACCAGACAGGTGACAGTCCTGCATCCTTTAATTAGATGTTTCTATTGATGTGGAATCCACACTGAAATACTCCGCTTTGCCTGGGCTTAACTGCTTAAGTCTGTGCCTTTTGAACTGCAGATGGGCAGCGGGAGCAGGAGTCCACTGCCTGCCAGTTAGAGCACTTGCCCAAGAAGTGGGAAATGAGTTTTAATCTCATCAGCATGATGGGACTTTTTCCAGGCTTTAGTCCAGGGGCAGGCAACTATTTTGGGTGCAGGGCCGCTTACCCAGTTTGGACAGGCTGTTGAGGGCCGCATGGGTAGTCCCACCCCGTGACAGGTGCCCCACCCCTTGACAGGTGTCAATGTCCCAATGTCTTGGGACCAGTGTCCCAGGGCCAGCACCGGTGGGGCCCAGAGCAGGGCACAGGCTGGCCTCTGGGCCCCACTGGCGCTGGCCCCGGGACATCCGTGTTCCTGCTGGCTCCCTGCCTGCTCACACTCAGTGCCCTGCCATACAGGCAGGGGGCAGCTCTCAGCCCCGACCCCCTGCTCACCAGCCGGGGA